GCAGAAAGAGCTTTCTCCAGAGTCCTCTTGCCCAGGGAAGTTTTTACTTGGAAGGGCCATGTTAGTGTCCTGCTATCTTGATGACCTACTTGCTTTCTACAGAAATAAGTGTACAACTTGCAGAGAATGAAATACAAGAAAATGAGAAAGCAGGAGAAATGAAAGTGCATGGAACATTCTTAGTTTGATTCGCTACCACTGTCTCCTCTGGAGTGCTTTTTCTCAAATGAATCCATGATTCCATTTTATTGTGTGTTGACTCAAAATAAGGTACAATGCAATATATTTTGGGGTCAAGGAGAAATAAAGATAATTCTTTTCCTTAAGAAATATACCTCTGCTTCATGTATGTATAATATGTCAAAATACACTCTATTGTCGTGTATAACCAAAAAGAACAAACAAAAAACAGCAATGTACATCTGAACTTGAAAATATTATGTTAAGTGAAATAAGTCAGACTTGGAAAGTAAAGGATCATATCATTTCTCTTATATATGGAAGCTAGGGAGGAAAAAGGAAAAGAAAGGTGTATGTGTGGGATCTCATGAAAATTGAGGAAAGGGACCAGAGAGAAGGAAGAGGGAAGGGAAAAGAGAAATAATGGGGACTGATATTGACTAAATTATATTATTATATCATGTACATGTACATATATGCAACAATGAATTTCACCATTATGCACAATGTGCGATACACATATTTATTTTTTCCTAAAAAATAAGGGGGAAAAGTAATATATCATCTAGTTTAGGAATGACATGTATACTTCAAATGCTGCCGGCAACATTACCAGCCTATGCATGCATATGAGGTCACATTTACAGTAGCACCCAAGTTTCATTGACTTTGAAATCTGTATTTGTTCATATGGGAACTTAGCTCGCTCTTAGAGTTTATATATGAGTTAGGAGTCCAGTAGGAAAGAGATGGCACATTTGAGCTACAAAATTAACACCAGGATTATTTCTAAGAGATGTAGTTAAGGTTTAGGAAGAGTAATAGGGATAGTATAGTAAAGGAAACTAGCAACAGAAGGAACTGTTACCATCCTTGGCCTGAAGAGGCAAAGAGGTGAAGGGCATCCGAATCTGGCGGGGTGGGGGGAGAGTGAATCTGGCAGGGTGGGGGCAGAGGAAGAGGGAGAGGGAGAGGGAGAAAGTGAGAGCATGGGAGAGATCACTCTATGTAAAAGAGCCCTCTAGTTCCTTTGCATGTACCCCTGAACTCAGGTTATTCTCTAATTTGTGAAGCCAACAAGACACCAAGGAAGCCCACTGGAACAATCCACGTCATCACCCTCTTCTGGCACAGAATAGAAAGGGTAGCGAGTAGGTGTAGAGGAGCAAATGGATGATATCAAGCACATGATTTCAGAGAATTTCCTAGATGATGCCTGTCTTGTCCATCCTCTTGTCTCCTGGCTTTCTTTGTTTCATATCCATGTCCTCCAAAGCTATCTGAAGGATCTTCACCATTGACAGTGCTCCTGGGGCTGAAGTTCTTGCCAATGGTGCACTCTTCCATTATACCTATATTAGTCTAGTTCCTCTCAGAAGCAGATACTAAGACAGGAAATGCTTCTGAGAGATAATGGAGCTGGAGGGCTCTGGGGGAAGCTGTTGATCCTAAGGGAAGGACAGAGGGTGGAAGCATTGCAGTCTACCATGTGCTCTAAGGAAGGTTCATAAAGATTGTCAGGGAATCTTTAAGCCAATATTCCTAGCAGAGAAGTCCTAGGTCTTGACTTTCCTTGCCATAGACAGTCCTTGACTGGGAGCAGCCTATAGAAGTGTGTCCTTAGTGAAATAAGGTGATGAATTTTAGGGTGCTGCAGTAGGCCTGTGATCAATTAGGCTTTCTGTAATTGGTGATCTGCAAGGTGCATTCTTATGGCACCCCCATAGGTCTCCAGGAATTCAGAATAGTGTAGGGATACAAGAGAAAGGGGTGAGAGAATAACCTTCTTTCTTGACTTCTCTGAGTTTGCTTCATGAGCCTAAGAAACAATTTTTTAGTGAGAATTTCACAAACAAAAAAAGTTTCCTGTAGAATTTTGTCAATGTCTGGGGTGTGCCTGGTTGCTCTCTTTGGAGTGGCTGGGACCATACTTAGATGCCTTCTGGGGAGGCTTTGTCTTCTCAATTGGGCCAGAGATGTGACTCTAAGACTTTACTTAGATTTCTATGTGAGAGAGGCCTTGGGGTGATTAGATAGAAAGTTGGGGCTTGTCTGGAGGCTGGATTTACATAGAAAACTTAAGTATGTGTGTACATTTGGGGTCTCGGGGTGATTAGGAAGCTCCTCTGTGAACTCCATCATGTGGTATAGAGTTCTACAGCTTCTCATTCTAGGTCTTTAGGGACAAAATGACTCCTTTTACCTCATTTCTTTAAGGATGAAGCTTGATTGTTCACCAGGAAGTTCATAGAGCACAGAAACCAAAGTCTTGGATATCATTAGAATTCTTTTAGTCAACACTAGAGGGATATATCTCCACATAAGAAAATTGGGGTTCTTCTAAGATGGGATCTTGAAGGATGGGGAAGAGGCAATGGGAAGGTAGATGTATATACCATGTTACAAATATGCTACGATGAATCTCACTATTCTCTATGATTAATATATACTAATATAAACAAATTAAAAAATGGAGTCTTCAAGAATTCAGAATAGTGTTGGGATACAAGAGAAAGGGGTGAGAGACAGCTAGGTTGTCAAAAATAATTATAAATGTATTCTATAGGTTATTTATCCTAGGATAGATGGAATTAATTTGTGGATTCATTTTTTTTTGGTGGTGCTAGGAATTGAACCCAGGATCTCATGCCTGCTAGGCAAGCATTTTATCACTGAACTACTTTCTCCAGCCCTAATTTATGGAAATCTTTTGCTGAAGTAGTAAAAATGAAAACAACAGTTAAGCCTCAGGAGACCCATCAGGAGACTCTATAATACTAGAGCACAATTATTTGATTATGTTTCTGTTTTCCTTGCCAGAGAGCAAGCACCTTGAAATGGAAGTTGTGTCATATTTTTTCAAAACAATTTTTGAATGCATTTAAGTGATTCATGAGTATAATTTCTTTTTACAAAAATAAAAAAAATTAGTAGGTTGAAATCTTTTGTAAACCTGCTCTGTTACCTCCTTTTCATTATGGGGACACACAAATATAGTTCAAATTATGCTGCTTGACCTGCATTGTAGGGATCCAATGTAGAAATAGGGCTCATCAGGCATGCAGGCTTTAAGCTTTTACTCTGATGCACAAATGATTTAGGTGAGTTATAGTCAGGGAGATTTCCTCTCTACCATCCCAACCTGGCCATGCACCCTCTCTCTATATTAATGGCTGCAATTGTACAAGAATCCTTTGGCTTATGACTGGTTGCCAAGATGTGCTAGACAGCAGAGTTGGTGTAAACTTCTACCTTCCCCAGGACAGTTTCACTGCTCTCAGAGTTGAATTGTACTTTCGTGGATTAAATCTGATCTTGCTGGGGCTGTTCTTCAGGTCTATTGATGTTCCTTGAAAGTGGAGACAAGACTATCAAATTCTACCAAAATGATTCCTCTTCCAAAAAGAGAGGGTGGGGGAAAGATGAGAATATGTTATTATTAGGTACCATACAAACAGATGGTGTAAATTGGAACGGATGGTGGGACAAGGATGGAGAAGTCAGATGTAGACTAAGTTAGATGATATTGACCCTTCTAGGTCCATTGTTTTCTGGGATTTATCAAGAAGATGTGGTGAAAAAATCACACTCATACATTGCTGGTGGGACTGCAAATTGGTGTAACCACTATGGAAAGCAGTATGGAGATTCCTCAGAATACTGGGAATTGAACCACCATTTGACCCATTTATCCCACTCCTTGGTTTATACCCAAAGGACTTAAAATCAGCATATTATAGTGATGCAGCCATATCAATGTTTATAGCAGCTCAATTCACAATAGCTAGATTATGGAACCAATGTAGTTGTCCCTCAATAGATGAATGGATTAATAAAATGTGGTATATATACTCAATGGAATATTACTTAGCTTTAAAGAAGGGTGAAATTATGGCATTTTCCAGTAAATGGTTGGAGTTGGGGAATATCCTGCTAAGTGAAATAAGCCAATCCCACAAAACTAAAGGCAAAATGTTTTCTCTAATATGTGGATGCTAATTCACAACAAGGCGGGAGGGCACTAAAGAAGAATAGTGTAACTTAGATTAGGTAGCGGGAAATGATGGGAGGGGTGTGGAGAGGATGTGGGGATAGGAAAGATAGTAGAATGAAACAGACATTAGTACTGTATGTATATATGTGACTATATGACCAATATGATTCTGCAACATGTAAACTCAAAAAATGAAATTATATCCCCTCTATATATGATATATCAAGTGTATAAATGCATTCTACTGTCATGTATAACTAATTAAACCAAATTAAAAAAAAAGAAGAGTCAGTCAAACCAATGACTGTCTGGGTCCTACTGGAAAGCAAAGTAAGGAGGGAGGGTGAAAAGTGAAAAAACTAAAGAGGGCCACTTGACCCTTTTGCAGAAGGACTCTGAACAAGACACTTCCTCACTCTGTTTCTTTAGGTGTATACGCCTACAGTGAATGTACACTGTCACCCCATGGTACAGCATGTCTGAGTCATTCTTTTGAAGACCCAGAGACCATTCATGAATGGGGATCTGACCTACAGAGGGCCTTTTTCCTGGGTTTTCTGTTTTGTCACCAACTTTCTGGCAAATTCTTTCAATCACTGAATGCCTATTTGTCTCACTAGGTGTTTTTTTTTTTTTTTTTTTTTTTTAACATTCTTGTCTGGGGCACATGCAGTAAGTATAGCAAAATGTAAGATTCTTTTTCTTTGGTCTTAATAAAAGGCCCCAAGGGAAAAAAACCTAAGTAGCTTGGGTTAATCATTAAACATGCCCTATGGTCAGTTCTGAATTTTCACTCTGGCTCACGTTTGGCCAGGATACAAAGGAGTTAGGTAAGTTACAGTCCAACAGGAGTGAGCTACCTGCATGGCAACTGCAGACTGGACTCTCACCAGCTCTCACAGTTTTCAGTTCTTGGCAGAGAGAAACAAGATCATTTGGAAAAGAAAGATAAGTTCTCCCTTAAGTCATGACAGAAACAGAAAAGGTACTGTTTGGTTTAGAAAAATCTCTGCTCTCTGTTTTCTAGGTATTGCATCTCTTGCTAATGTGGTGAGCCAAAGGAAACGAGGAGGGAAGGTCTAGAGTAAGAGCCTGGTAGCTTTGTCTTTGGAGGTCCTAGAGAAAGGGAAGCTGAGAGAGGAAGAAAGGAGGAGGAGGGGAAGGGCAGAAGAGAAAAGAGAGTCAAAAAGAGAGGACTTGGCTAAACTCACACGGCTCTCCTTTGTGGATAGAAACTTTCTAGTTAAAAGATACAAAGGGAGATTAAGTTTAGTCTTAGGAAGAATTGGTTATATTTATCATTGATATTATTACTGTATTTTAGAGGAAAAGAGATATTTCTGAACATAAAGTTTAAAAAAAACCTAGTGTTTAAAAGGTTATCTCCATTGTTCTAAGCTTGGGAGTAAACACTAAAATGAAATGTTAAAATAATGCAGCCAGATCGAAAGCAGACTCCTCAGTACTGAGTTTTTGTATTGGGTGTAATAAGCAAGTTCGATCCTGTGCTTCTGGACTAAGTAGCAAATATTCCTGAGGACTAATCTCCATGCAGTAGATGTATTTCTGCAAACTGAATGTTTGTAAATTAAATTCTATTCCAAGTGTATTTTAAAATGTAAGGAAGTCTGTGTCTTAAAGGAACACTTGGAAAATCCACTTGGAAATTTAAGAACTCCTTTCAGAAATGCAGGTAGCCTCTATCTGTACGCCATTTGCTAATGATGAGGGCAGGTACACAAACTTTATCAGTTTTCTTAGCTCCTAGTACAGTGCCCACCATCTAGTGGGAATACGATAAACCTTTACAGTATTGAGTTAAATATAAGTAATTTTATATTTTGGGCTGTTTTAATCAGGACATACCTGGATGACAAGTTTACTGCAACTTTGTTGCTGATATTCTTTTTCTGAGATTGTATTGGGACTCATGTTTTCTGAAATGGTAGAATTACTTCTGCTACTCTCAGTGCTTCCTTAAAAATCTAAATTAAATGAATATTTAGAAGTATATGTGTGTATTTAGTGTTTTTATTTATTTAGTTTTGAGTTTTCAGAAGACCTCAGAGACACTATCTTCAAGAGGATTTTGTCATTCTCCCTGACTGGGTGCTGGAGAGCAGCTAAGCACCCTTTGTAGGGAAGGCTCTGGGTGTTCCCTAAGGCATAAGGGGGTTCAGCCAGGTTTCTATGGATTCTGCCCATCCCACATGGATGTGAAAGCCATTTCTCTCAGATTAGGTAAAACCAGATTTAGGGTATTTGAACATGCATCCATCAATTAGAATTTAGTAGGCTTTGTGTGGGATCTTTACACTAAGGGGTTTGTGGAAACGGGAGACTAGTCCTGGTCTCTCCAAAGAAGAGTCTGTTACTGTCTAGAAGACAAGGCCCCTGTGGGGTACAACATTGACTGGCTCAGGTTCACAGGACATGAGCTAGAGGCTTGAGGGGAAGGTCAAGGAGACCTAAGGTGGGCCCTGAGCTGGGCCAGGATCTCATACAGCCATGGAGAAGAATTGGGAATCCAGAAAGGCACAAGTAGCAGCCAAGGCAGAGGCTAATGTGTGGAAGTCTTATCTGAGTGGTAAGAGAACAGCACAGCTACAGTGCAGAGAGTCATGTAAGACAGAAACAGGAAGGTTGGAAGAGGCAAAACAAAGTCAACCCCTCCATGAAAAAATTTATTTCTAAAATTCACCTTTTGATTAATAATGAACTAATGAAAGATATTATTATTCACCCAGTTTAAACATGCATGAAATTAGCTAGTGAAACAAGAGAGGCTGAGTGGTGATCATTTTCTCTAAGATTCTTAGATGATTCCTTTCTCCTGAGCTTGGAAAGATGGTCCCTTTGAAGACACTAGGGCCATATTTATCTCACCTCTTAAACAATTTCTTGCTTCAACACAGCAAAGTGATAGTATATAAGCAAAAATGATAACCATTTTAAAAAATCTGTTTTTAGTTGTTGATGGACCTTTATTGTATTTATTTATGTGTAATGCTGAGAATTGAACTCAGTGCCTCAGACATGCTAGGCAAATGCTCTACCGCTGAGATACAACCTCAGCCCCCCAAATGATAGTCATTCAAAAAATGTTTTTATATAGCTATGCTGCTCCAATCAAAACTGAAAATGCTTTTAACGCTTGAGCAATCTTAAGATGATTGACTTCAGTGGACATGATGGCTGGCTGGCTGCTCTCTGTGATGAGTATTGAAGTACTACTTTTGGCAGGTGAGTAGAATGTAATTGAGTGGATTATAGATTAGAACTCTTTAGGTAGCCTTGGTAATTATTAATAATAAAAGATTATTTTGATTGTGCATCATAAATATATATATTTTTTACTTTCCAATTGAAGACAAATTAAAAGTATTATTTTGGAAGGAGGTGTTGAAGGATCTGCTTCTGGGTTTAAATTTTTGTTGAATAATTTTTTTTCTGATTTATATCTGAGGTTATATACTAAATTGTTACAAACTTTTAATGGCCAGTTCAATAATAAATTATAACCTTCCTTTTGTAACTCCTTTTAGAGCTACATGATGTAATTCTTTTTAGATTTTTCTGCTCCACCTTCCCTAATGGAGTAACTTCTGTTGTCTTAGTGATTGATGACTGCTTATGTTAAAATCTCCTTTTCTAAATCATGTCTCTGACTTTCTCTGTGAATTTGGTCATCCATGGTCTGATTTGGCTGGGGCTGCCATGATGGTTATGCTGATCTAATGGCTCCCCATTATCCCCAGGTGTTCAGTGTGTTACCTGCATGACTGATGGTACATGGAAGGCCTGTGCCAGCCACAGATAGCATGGCTTAGATTATTTTTTAATATTTCTGACATGGAAATGAAAACATGTTCTACAGATAACAGTTTCCTGCCTCTTTACCTCATTGAGGAGCTGAGTGATTTTTGTTGGTTTCCTTGAAGTGCCTTTACCTGTGGCAAGACCTGTACAGAATCATCAACAAAGATGGAGGGATTTATTAGGATCAGACTCAGTTGATGGTCTGTATGGGAAAACCAATTTAGCCTAGCATGTGAAGTCCATACAGATTTTTGAAAAGGAGATTCCAGTGATGAACCATTCTTCAGACCTTTTCTGAACCATCAAGACAAAAAACAATAAAGCAAACAAACAAACAAAACAAACAAACAACCAACCAACCAACCAATCAACCAACCAAACAAAAAACCCCCAACAAAACAAAACAAGACAAAAAACAATGTAGGGAATTTTGATTTCCATTTGGAAGTCATTCTGAACACATGGAAACTAGAGGACAGGGAACTAAGCAGGAAGATTGAAGTGTGAACAGCTTCCAGAAGTTTCTCTCATTTCCAGGAAGTAGAAATACAAGAAATAAATGGTGATGTTTATACTTAAGTGTGGCCAATTGATTAAAGAAGAGTGGGACAGAGACGGGAGGTAGTACTGGTTCAATTAGGAACTAAATGTGTCTAAAGGAAGTAGAAATTCACAATTGTCCTGGTAAACACTGGGATTTTGAATGTCTAAAATGAAAGGGATTAATTTTCCATATAACAGGTGTCAGAAGGAGTGTTCTCCAGACCTGGTTAAAATGTAATTCTGTTATAAATATGTAACAATGAATCCCATAATTATATATAATGAAAATGCACCAATACAAAAAGAAGGCATGTAAATTCTGAACCAGAAACTCAGGGTTTGGGGCCCAATGATCTATGCTTTATCAGGCTCTTGTGATGATTTGGATGCATGCTAAGTTTTGCTTTAAAATATTGGGGAATAGGACCTTCCACACCATGTTTTTCACTTATTTGCAGAACCTTGCCTGAATTTACGTATTGAACCTGAAGAAGGTAGCCTTGCAGGGGGAACATGGATCACAGTCATTTTTGATGGTAGGTTTGGGTTTTATCTTTATTGACCAACAATCCTAAGGAATATAAGTTCTTGCTTTCTTGTCTAAGGGCAGGTAAAGGAGCTCGTGAAGGAAACAGGTGGATCCACTTCTGTCTTTGCAGATGCTCACTGGCTAATGTCACAGGGGAGCACATGTCACCATTGCACATTGAAGCTCACTTTCCTGTTCTAGGCTGTGGGATGGGAGGGAACTCTTAAAGAGACTATATGAAAGTGCATATCATAGTCCTTGGCAATGCTTCCCTTGATAATCTAGGTTATCTTCCTCACAGGCAACTGTATCATTGAGAGCTTCTAAACAATGTGCTTAGCATGACTCTTTCTAGCAAAGTACAGAGTAACTTTGTGGGTTGACAATTCTTTTCCAGATTTAGGCAGACCTGAAGAAAGAAGGCTTTTTTAAAAAAAATCAGCACATAAATGAGAGAACTACTCCTTTTTATAGCAGGCACAAATGCCTTTGGAGATAAGTATTAATTTGCTCCTTAGGTAAACTGGGTATCTTAGATTGCCCCCAAGTGGCCACTTTTCTCATTGCCCTGTGTGGATTGTCACTGCTCAACCTAGATTTACCATGTACCTTGAGTTTAGGTTTGGAGCCAGGTGTCCTTTACCCCACCAATGGCTCTCAGCTGGAGGTACACCTGGTGAACATGGCTGTGCCTGCATTGAGGAGCATCCCCTGTGACGTCTCTCCTGTCTTCTTGAATTTCCCAGTGGTGACATGCCGGACCAGGTATACCTGTCTAGAATAAGAACAGAAAGGTTGAGTGGGTTTTGAAGACATATTACAACAATTCTGCTGTGACCACAATTATCAGCTATAGCTTTCAGAAAAATTCTGTGTGAATATGGTTCTTACATGTTCCTATCAGGGCTCTAGGACTTAAGGGAAGATGAGAGAATGGGGAAGAATTTTGAGATATTTATAAGAGGGACTGGATCATTGTTTCATTTGTTTAGTTTACAAGGAGTTCTATTGCTATAAAGATTTCAACAAATGCACCATTTTGGACTCTAAAGTACTCATCACTTGGAATAGACATAATTATAATGATTTTGCATAAAAACAGGAAGGAAATTTTGCTTTGGGTTTAGTTGGTTGCTCAGTTTGATATTATTTCTATTTAGGAAATATTTGTACAGAATTCCAGGTAATCTATTGTTCTTCTCAAATTTTTGTTGGCCTATGAAGATTATAGTAGTTCATTCCTTCTTTTTGTATATCTTAGGGGTGCTTCATGAAAAGAATCATTGGCTAAAGGAAAGGATATTGTCATTTCATTTTGTCTTCTGTTCCTTCTGACTCCCATTTTCCATTTTCTTCTATTGAAATTCACCAACCAGAGTATAAATGCCACCTCTTCCCTGGCCATCCAGCTCAGTGTCATCTCTCCCTTCCTTGATAGGAGCCAAAGGATCCCTTTTTAGTGATCCACCTGCAGGATGCACGTGTGCACACACACTCTTTTGTGCAACTCATCATGCTGTACACAAAATCAAAGCATGTGTTGCCTTGTGGCCCTGTTTCCTCTGCCCTGTGCTTCTCATGACACTTATGTCAGTTGCCTACATGTCAGATTCATCATCATAGAATTAAGTGATGATTAATGATGGTGCATAAACCCAAACTTCGTCTAGGGGATGTGTTTAATCTCACCATCATCATCTTTGGGTGCCTTGCACAATATTTTATGTGTAGAAAATGCTCATCAGAAGTATGTTGAATGAATTCCTTTATAGCACTAGTAATGATTTATAAATTGAGATCATTTTTCCTTAGATTTTTATGGAGTATTTGATCATAGCCTTCCTGCAAGTACTTGCCATGAAAAAGCCAAAGCTTTATATGTCTTTATATGTCCAAAGGTTTATATGTCTGATCTCCTCAATCCCAACATACCAATAATTTTAGGATGCATCATTGATTTTGTGTCACCTTTTTAGAAAATAAATATGCCCCCTTTCTTATACTCATTGATTGGAAAATAAATGTAAAATTCAGTTAACATTCAAGTGTGAAAAATATAATTTGTCATCACTGAAATGCTATTCTATTTAGTATCATGAAATGATATACCTGTTTTCACTGAGCAGTCATTGTAGCATTGAAATCAGTACTGGCCAAACAAAATGTAATGTGGACAAAAATATAATTTAAAAGATTCTAGTGGCCTCATTAAAGTTAAAAGAAACAAACAAAATTAATTTTAATATTTTATTTAGCCTGATATATACAAAATATTATTTCAACATGTGATCTCAATATGTCATTGAGATATTTTTCTATCCTTTTTGTACCCCAGCCACCTTTCAGTGTGTATTTTATACTCATGGTGTATCTTAATCGAGACAGCCCACATTTCAGATGCTCAGTTAAGCATACAAGGCTGGGGGGAATACAATGAAGGTGTATAGCATAGTCCTTGGCAATGGGAGGTTTGGCAAGGAGGAATTTCTTGACTGTAACTTCCTTTTGTTCACTATATTCCCCCTCTTTCAAAAAACCACATAGATGGCAGCCTTGAAGGGGCAAAGAAACCACAATGGTATTTCTGCAAAAAAGGTCCAGGACTCTCTGTCAGGTTCATGAGATGTTTATGGGCTGCTCCAATGATTGTGAAGCCAAGATTTTTTTTTTTTTGAGCACAAGTAAGATAAATGCCTTTTATCAGTTTGTCTGGGATTCAAGCCCTACTTTGCCCTGAACATTTGGTGTTTATACACATGTCTCAATCCACATGGGACTGTCAGATTTTTTAAAAAATGGAAACTGGAAATAGATTATCAAAATTCCTACCAACTCTTAAAAACCTATGAACCCATAATTCTAAGAAATAGGACATTTCTTCATTCAATAACTTTCAATAGGAACAAAAAATTATAACTCCTTTTGCTGAAGGATGCAGTGTTTAAGGTATGGTGATTCTGAGTGGACCAGGGGATGAAATGTGAAATAAAACCATGTTTGCTTAGCTATGTTTCTCAGGTGTGGGATGGCATTTGAAGTGGTTGTGTGTGCTGCTTGCTTTGGAAATTCTTGGTTTCTGATTCATAAGAATTTGTACTTTTTGCCCTCAGATATCTGCCATCCAAAGCTCATGAGGGTCTGTATTCCCTGGAAGTGCGCTCTGGGGGACAGGTAGTGGGCAGCCCAAGTTCAAGACCACAAGACAGCTGTACTTTCAAGGTGGGTTCTAAGGGTAGAAGATATGTGTCTGCCTAGTCTGAAGGTGTACATGTGTTATCAACAAGGAAGTTATAGATCAGCCAGAGTCTGCTTTGACAGAATAAGAAGAAAGGTGAATGGTATTTATGGGGTTTCTAATGAAAGAATAGTATGTCAGCATCCAGCTCTGTACTTTTTGTACACAGTGTAATGCTCATAACAATTTTCGGAGGTGGCCATTTGTTATCTGTTTTTAGAGATGAGCAACCTGAGGCTTAGGAAGTTTAAATAATTTGCTTATATCACCCAGGTAATAAATGGAAGAACCAGGATTTGAACCTGCATCTAAATCTAACTAAATCTGCTCACTTGAAGTTCATAGAAGAGTGGAAAGATTACCTTTGTGAGTTAGTTTCATTTTTTTAGCCGAGCTCATGCTGATTGTTAGGATGATGAGGGGACTCAGGAACCCAAGTTCCCTGGTGCAGGAACCCAACTTCTACCTTTTCATTCTCTCTGCTTCATGGCACATTTCTGCTATTCTTCCCAACACTAGAAAGGGATTTGCTTATGGAATTCTTTGTCATGTTCAGATAGATCAAAAAGAAGGGAGGAAGAGAGGGAGGGGAGAGAAAGAGAGAGAGAGAGAGAGAGAGAGAGAGAGAGAGATTTTATGATGCCGGTGTCTGACTTATTGTTGAGCCTTGATGTCTATGCAGGGCCTTAATTCTTTGTTTGGATCAGTCTAAGGCTCATTTCAGATGAGTTATACTGACATGTCAATACTATCTCGAAGGTGAGGCCCTAGTCTTTTCATAAAAAAAGCAGAGCTTTGGAAGTGCTGCTAATGGCAAAGAGTGCCTCAGTGTTATAAAGAAGGCAATTTAGTGGTTCACCTGTGCTCTTTTAGAACTTTACCCTTTGGATTCATCTCTAATATAATACATATGAAATTTAGGCAATTTATTTTGAAATTTGGAATACACTCTCCATTGACACTCATCAATTTCTTTCCCAGTTTAATAGAAATCTTGTTTTCTGAAATTTTGCTTTTGCACATATGCAGTGGACAGAAAAAATTTTTTCACCATTCTTTCTTATTAAGAGCAGCATTACCACTTCTGCACTGTCTCAGGAAATTCAGCAGAAGAGAGCCGGTCAAGATGCTCCTTATTCTCCATATTCCTTTTTATCCCAGATAGTAGTTTTTCTACTTATTAAAAGAGCATCAAGGAGAGAGGGCAGGGGGTGGGGAGAAGAAAAACACTTCCTAAAATTGTACATTAAAGAAAACAAGTCTGTCAGTGATTCAACTAGCATGGTGAGTTGATGAAAAATCACCAGGGGATGAAGTTAATGAGAGGCGTTCCAAGCTCAGTAAAATTCAGTGTGTCTCTTTGCTTTGGGACCAGGACTAGGGGAACCATGCACATTAAAAATTAAATCTGTCTTGCCAGTCCACTCCAAAGAGCCTGCTGCGGGCATTGACAAGTTCGAACAACTCACAAAAGGTTTATTAGGCAGCTGGTGGCTGTGGCTTTATCATTCTAATCTGTGCCACCCCCCCCCACACACACACACACCACCACCCAGTCTTGCCATTGCTGACCTCACTTGGGCTCAAGGATCAGCATGTGGGAAGCTTGATTTGGAAGCTCATTAATTTTTCACTGTCATGTCTCTAGCCTGGTGGGTGACCAGGGGCCACTTTCTCTTAGAAATATACCATTTTATGTTGTGCCAGTTCAGAGAGAATCAGAAGTGAATTTTTTTTTTTTTTTTTTTTGGTTTAACCCTGAGCACTCTCCATCACTCTCAGGGGAGTTAGGAGGGAACAATAAAGGAGTCACTGCATTCCCCACAGACTTTGGTTGAAGGATCACAGACTGAGTGGGTCTTAGATTTCCCAGTGGAAACTGACAGGCATACTTCCTTATTTGGTTTGAACTCAGTGGTTCCCCTGTCTCCATTTCTAACACGTGCAAGATGGGACAGTACCCACTGCTGTGCTTTATTCAGGAGGTTCCTATGATAAAGTTCCAATTGAAATAACTTTGGTTAAAGGCCATCCTGATGGCAGACGAAGGCCTGGCTGCAGCTCTTGGCTGGAAGGCTGGGATAGGGATTGAATGTTTGGCAGGTGTGTGCAGAACGGTGTTCATTTTTATCTTTTGGTACCACCATAGGCATCTCCTAAACTGTGAAGTCACAGCATTCTTATTTTGACCTCCTGACTGTACATATTTTCTGTGAACTCTTTTCTAACCTTTTTCTTTACAGAATGAGGAAAATAACCTTGATGGAAGATTGTATATCTGTACAGATCAATACACAAACCCACACTTGACAGGCACCATCAGCTTTGTTGAAATGTCTGTTGATTCTTAATGTCTGTTTAGGGCTGTTGATTAACTATTGAGGGATTCTTTGGTGATGTTCTTCTGGGAAGGCAAACTCCTGCCATGCTGGAAGCAGACCAAACAGAAGGATTTGCTGTAGTTTGTTTTGCAAATGGGAAACCTTGTAGGTTGTATGGAATGGAGGCAGTTTAGGAGACTAGGGAAGGTGGGAGTGACTAAGTCTCTCCCTGAGTGAGGCATTAGCTCATGATCAAACCTTGATCTAGTCAGTCCATCTTTTGTGCTTCTCCATTTCTTCACACTGGGCTTGTCATGATTTCCTGAGGAGTATTTCACTAATCTTAGACGAATCCAGATGATCATAGGTGAGATGGAATTCCTGAAATTCTCCCATCCCCCAGCTTTTCTTCCCAGCAGTGTATTAGTCATTCCAGATCCAAGTTCACAAAAATTTGAACAACTTTTTCATACCAGCCTATGCATGGTGGATGCAGTAGCAACTGAATCAAGCATCATCCTTTAAATATGGAGCTTGTGATCAACAGATGATGTGCTTCATGAGGCGGAGGCATTGAAAGTTGATTTGGAATACTGTGACCAGGCTTTGGCAGGCTCCCATGTCTCCAATCAATACCATTTTCCTCCTTGTTGAAGAACAATATTGTTTTCCCTTCCTTGAGTGTTTTGAGTCATTTTCCTTCCAACAGACATCTTCCATTTCTCCAATGAGCACCTCACTCATGTATTTCTAATTTCTCATTTTTTTTTTGTTGCTTGCTGATCCTTCCCAAGATGCTGGCTGAGAGTAATTTGTCATGATACTTACATTTAAACAAAAAAATTATTTTCTAGAAAAACAAACACCTTCAAGACTTGAAGACATCAGATTATAATAATGGATTTTAAAGATAGACATTTCTATGTGATGGCTTGTCTACCTTTCCTTCCGGTAAAATGTGTGCCTAGGTTGGGTATGGTAGGTGAGCAGGTAGAGAAATAGGTTTACCAAAATTTGGACAATATGGGGCAGGACATGCATGTATGACATGATCAAATTCCCTTTACTTCATCTGTAGAAGAAATGTAATAATTTCTGTCATCTCTGCCTCATGGAAATGTAGGGATGAAGGTGATTTGAGGCAAAGTATCCATTCCCTATTTTAGACTAATGCTTTATGAGAAATGGCTTGTATCTCTGATGTTCATGGATATTTAACTTGGATATTGATATAAAATGTGATGATATTTTTAAAACAGTTTTCCAAGGCACAGACACCGATTGTTTACCAAGTTAATCCACCAAGTGGAGTTCCAGGTAAGAAATCTTCTATTAACATGGGAATAATTGGGAATCCCTTTTCCAAAGTTTGTTGCTAACTTTTGCCTAGGTGGATAGTCTCTGTAATTGGGAAAAAATAACTTCTTCTCTGTTATTGTTTTGAAAATAAGTCTCGTTCTCTGGTTCATTTTCAACCTGGTTTGGTTTCACCTCTGGGCACTTTTGTTCTATTACTTCACTGATAAGAAAGTCAAACATGATAAGAAAAAGAAGCCAGCAAAATAAAACCAGTTGATGCTGGAGAATGGAGGAAAAAGAAATAACTATTGCTCTTAACTTTATAATCATCCAAGTAAGAACAAACCCTAACCAAACCCTTACTGTGCTCCAAATTCCATTCTAAGCTCTTCATATATATTATCTTACTAGACTTTTGCAGGAACCTGATGATATAGGAGAGGAGCTATTATTATTTTCATTTTGAGATGAGGAAAGGAGGTAGCAGGAGGTTATATAAATTGACCAAAGTCATAGAGCTAATCCATGACACAGCTGAGATTGGAATCCAGAGAGGCCCATGGATCCATCATTTTTCCTTATGTTTCATTGTGTTGGATACCATTTGGAAGGCCATGAGCCCTGGTCTTTCTCTAGGGATTTGTTTACAAGTTAGAGAATATATAAAGCAGACACATAATGATTAGGAGGACAGAAGAGAAGGAGATTGTGTAAAGATGGGGGGATTTATATAAAAGGAGATGGGATTACAACTGAGAAATGGATTCAGGAATTGCTAAGTCTGTCTTAAAACTAAGTAGTAAACATGACTAATAAGACACTTTGCTGTCTTATTCTTGGCAAATTTCTCTCTATATTTCAGGCTTTCCAATTTTTCAGTGTTTCCAGAATTGTATAAGTGTGACAATATAAGTTGCTCCATTTTTTATATATGGTTGTGTCTAAATGCATAAATAGATCTAATTGTTTTGATTGACTTGGCTGGCCAAGAATGTCAGAATGAATATCTAAGTTATGGAAAAGTATTTGTGCATTTTTTGTGTTTTTGTGTGTGTGCATGTGTGTATAGACACAGATTATATGTGTATTTAAATTACATTTCAAATAACATGAATTCAGCATTATCTCACTCCTGGGCTTTTCACAGATCTGTTCCATTCCATTAATCTGAGCAACCAAGATGTGATATGTTTTATTAAAGAGATGAGATCTGTGAAAATCCCATGCATATGTTTGGGTTCCTGCTGCTCCAGTGTTAGAAAGCTCCTGTTTAGATGGCAGAAGTCTTGTTAAGGTGAAGGATGAGGAAGGAGCCAGCCCTGAGAGGTGTGAAATGGGATGTCAGTTGGCACCCAGATCTGTCAAGCCCATTTCTACCACTGAGGTGGAGTTCTGCACACTGGGTCCTCCACTTTCTGGGGGAACGACTGGTGGTTGGCCAGGCTGGAGTGGTCCCTCCAGGCAGCATCCACACGGCTGCAGCTTTGCAATCACTTTCCAGGCAATTAGTCTCATTTCATTTGGGAAACCTGCCCAGAGTAGCAGCTAGGGAGACGGGGGGAGGAGGTAGGGACAGGACAGACAACGTTTTAGGAGCAGTTGAATTTTGATATGTGGTGGTTAATAGTCCTTTGCTGTGACAGAATCCCCTGGCACAGTGGTCTGGTTTAGCCATTAATCAACCTCAGTTGGGCTTCTTTGTTTAGAAACAAAACAAAAATTCACAGGTTTTCCTAATATCTACAACCTGTTATTTCTTTTTAAAATTGTGCCTACAAAACTAGAAGTCATGCCCATTAAAGCTAGGAAATCACTAGTTCAGCTCTATTAAAGTTGAAGTGAATTATTCTGCCAGTTTTTAGCAGTATCAGAGAACTCGAGACTCTGTACCCCTGGGAACTCTGTGACCTTTGTCTAAATCTGGGTTCCTGCTCTTTCTACCCATCCATCTGTGGGATGGCTTTAGTACCACCCTAAAAGTTCCTATCATTTCAGCACAAGTTATCCAATGACTGTAGATGAGAGTTACTTCTTATTAATAACTCACAAGCGTAGTATCAAGGTAGAAGCTTGGTGATGTTTTTTGGTGGCTTTAAGTGTCCGTAGAGAGACCCAGAGTCCTCTGGGTTCAGTGACCTGATGAACCTGGTAGGCACTCTTTTCTTTCTCACTTTATAAGGTTTTATCTCACCAAACAACACCTCTCCCATCTCTAAACATTTTCAGTGAGGCTAGAAGTTTACAGAGGAGATGATTAGATTCTCTAATTATTTGAAAGGCACACACATCCAAATAATTGTGGAGCTGTGTGGTAAATTTTAGCTATATCATCTTATAAGGGTGTATTTGCCTAAAACCTTGTCTTGTGCAGTTCCAAAAGTCCAAGTTTCGTTTTTTTCCCCCAAATATGAAATAAACCAGCTCTTGTAGTATCTGTCAGGGGCTCCCCAACTCCTATGAGCACTGGTGCAGGAGTGGCATGGAGTGCTTCTTGCTGAGGGGGCATTGCTGATAGCTGCATCTGCATTTATGTGTACTCAATAAGGAGCAGATTAAGGAAAAACTTGCTACCTAGTGGAAATCCTTGCAAGAGGTATAGAGGAGGCCCAAGGATAGAAGTCATCATCCATAGATTGGTGTTGGGCAGAAACCAACTGTTGTCATAACTCCAATTTGCTTAATCTGTTTTTTTTTTTTTTTGAGATAGGGTCTCACTATGTTTCCCAGACTGATCTTGAACTCTTGAGCCCAAATGATCCTCTTGATTCAGTCTCCCAAGTAGCTGGGACCCACTGGATTGTCTGATATGAGCTTCTTCATATCACATGTTTATTTTCTTATTTTAATCAACATTATGGAGTATGTATACATAGTATGAAATGTTCAAATTGGGGTTTGCATATTGAGTTCCTCAACCTTTATCACTTCTTTGTGGTGAAAACATTTAAATCCTTTCTTCTAGCTTTTAAAAAAATGTTGTACATTATCGTTACATGTAGTCACCCTACTTTACAATAGAACACCAGAACTTAGTTTTTCTTTCTAACTGTAACTGGCCTCCAGCTGACTGACGTTTTATCATCCCTCCCTTCCCTACTTTTTCCAGCCCCTGGGAACTACTATTCTTTTTTTTAATATATATTTTTTTAGGTGTAGATGGACACAACACAATGCCTTTATTTTTATGTGGTGCTGAGGATCCGACCTGGGTCCCGCCCGTGCTAGGCGAGCACTCTACCGCTGAGGCACAATCTCAGCCCCCCTGGGAATTATTATTCTACTCTCAACTTCTATGAAATCAACTTTTTAAGATTTTACATAGGAACGAGATCATGTGGTATCACATGTTTATTTTAGCAAGTGTCCTGGGGAAAGTCCTATAGAGATAGGGCACCCACTGGACATTGTTCTTAGATCCCACGTTGGGTGGATGGTCTACATGAAGCTATGAGAATGGGTGGGGGAAATGTGCATAAACTGGCCCCTCTTTCTGAAAACCTCCCACTTTATGATACCATGAAGAAGAATCATTACCCCTTGTATACTCCTTGCATAGATAATTAAGCCTATGTTTGAAATAATTGGTTATTTTATTTTAGCCTTTCTAGTGTGTAATATTGATCTCTGGATCACACTATTAATTTTACTGTTATATAGTTTATTTCAAAAGTGTGAATTTTATGCATGATGATCAGCTTTGCCATATTGGGTATATGTATGTTTCATACACATTGCAGGCTGTATGTTTTACATTAATTGTTTGAGCTAACTGCATTCAATCTTTAAAACTCTTCTTAAAACAGGGAAACTAATTAAGGTGTATGGCTGGATTATCACTGGGAAGTTGGAGACCTTTGATTTTGATGCTGAGTACATCGATAGGTATGCATGTTCTGTGTTCAACCCGTTACATAAATGCTGGATGACTTCCTGAGCCGGCTTCCCCAATAGCAATAAATTTTAAGCAATTGGCACAGAATTGCTATTTTTCTCTTTACAGTTTATGGACCCTGGTGGTGTGGGCTTCAGCTTTGACTTTGTTCATGTAATTGTGACTGGTCGATTAAGTTGGTCCATTTATTTACTGACAACTATCACTTTAGGCTCAGTGCGAATTGTACTGTAGTTACATCCATGGATTTTTTTTTTTTTACTCTTTCTCTTTATCCCCTTATTTCTCAGGATAAAATAAAATCTGTAAAAATAATATGTAAACCCAAAAGCACATTAAAAATTTCTGGCTTAGTTTTCCCATTTGTGCATTTAGAAATGCTATTTATAGTGGGATCAGAAGAAAAAATGCACATGGGTATGAAATGCCATTGAACTTGTAATGTTCTCTGGAAATGATTAGGATGTCCACACCAGTTTTTTTTTTTTATTGGACAATCATTAAGTGGAAATGTTACTATTGAGTCATTCATGCTAGGAAAAGACCTGAACAAGATAGAGAGTGTTGAAACTGGGGAGCTTGTGGGAAGCACTAAGCAACTCTCATCATTCAACAGATGAAACAATCCCAGTGAGGATTTAAAAGGTAGACAAACCATATACTCACACTGTTCCCCACCTGCACAGAGCCTGGGTCTAATTAGTCCTTCACCCTGGATGGATCGGAGGCATTCTCCTCTGTTCTCCGTCTCTTTGATTCTGTCCAGCATTCCTGGCATTGAATAATGGTCAGCTTGTCTTATAAGGCTATTTCTCTTCCTGTAAAAAATAGATATTCCAAGGACATTCTTGACAGTATGCCATATTTGCTACTTGGATCCATCTCAGCTTTGTTCTGGGATCCAGTCTTTAAGAGCTGGATAGCTCTGTAGACCCAGTATGGCCAATGTGGAGATAATAGAGGTATGTTTTGGGAGAAAGGACAAATGCTCCCTCTGCAGTCTGAAGGCTTGGGCCATGAGGGCATCCCTAGTTTCTGGCCAAGAATTTGACTAAACATCCATTTAAGACACAGCCCTCAGGCCCCAGCCATATGAACATTTCTGGAGGAAAATGTTCATAACTGTGTGTCCTCCAAGCTTTGACAGGAATGTTTGCTGGGAGCATCACACTACTGTCTCTTGACTTTTTTTTTTTTTTTCTTATCCAGCCCGTTGATCTTGGAAGCTCAAGGAGACAGTTGGGTCACTCCTTGCTCTCTGATAAACAGGCAGACAGGAAGCCAGTGAGTGTTTTTCTTTTCTTGATAATGTGTATGTTTTTAGGTTCTTCCTCATGAATATAGCACACACCTTTTAAAAATATAAATCACTCATGAGTGTTAACTGACTTTTTATGTAGACTTATGTGAAAGGACACAGGAATTGATTCGAAATGTAAATTGAAGTGGAATCTAAAACTTTGTAAAACTTTCCATGAAAACAAATCGCTAATACTTACTAAGAACTTACTCTAGGTCAAGGCTTGCTCTAATGCTTTTACGTTTAAGTCTCTCGATGATCTTGTGAATATGTATGGCCAGTAGTCTGACTCTATAGGTGAGAATGCTGAGGCACAGGGAGGTTAAGTAATTGTTTCAAGTCTTTCAGAGCAAGTGGCAGAGCTATGACCAGAGACCTGTCTGACTAATTGGCCTCCAGGGTTCATGTTCTTAGCCACTATACTGTCATAACTAACCCAAAGGAAAAAAAAAAAAAGCAACTTTTTAAAAATGAGTATCTATGTGCTTCAGCTTGTGTAACCATCTTGCTAGATTTTTTACTTTGCCCTGAACTGGGTGGGTTTCCTTCGAGGCTCTGGCAAGAATTACATTTCATGGCTTTGCTTTTGGGGACTAGTGTTTAGTAGAGCAAGTTTTATAACGTTTTTACAATGTAGTTTCTTCCTAGAGTCTTCATTTACACAGGATCGCCCTTTTTGGGGTTCATACTTTTTTTTTCATAAGGGTTTTGCTATAGATTTTAGAAGATACCAAATGGAAGCTAGGAATAAGTTAAATTTTGTCTCTCATGCCCTGTTTGACTTAGCTTTTTTTTTTTTTTCATTCATAACTTGTTAGTAAGAACTTGCCCAATGAGCTTGTGATAACTTTAGTACCATCAATTTTCTGTGGCCAATTTGCCTTTTATTTATTACTTTGCTGGTTAAAGAGTCAGAACTTGTGAGCTGAGTCATCTGACATTCTCACCTGTTTGTCTTTTCCTTAGCTATCCTTCTCAGGAAGACCGTGGTCTTGGTACTCTGCAGTGCCGTGTGGAAGGCGATTACATTGGTCTGTTAGAGAAGTGACATAATTTTAAAGTCTTACCCATTTCATTCTCTGTATGCAGAAACAACATTTCAACAATTGGTTCTCATGAAAATAATAACTATCATGTGCTGAGAACCCCCTAAAACATACCACACAAAGCAGCTTGTTTATAAACTAACTTGATCCCCACAATGAGCCTGTGAAGTTGTTGGAATTATTTCCACTTTACAGGTGAGAAAATTAAAGCTGGTAACACGTGGATCAGATTGAAGTCACACTCAGTCTAAGTCCAGGCTGAGCTCTTAGCTGCTCTGCACTATTCTATTTGTCCTTTTGTCTTTGGAAATCTACATTGCTGATGGTGCTGCCTAAGATATTTATTTTGTGCACCACCAAAAAAAAAAAAAAAAAAAAAAAACAGGTTTGGGTGGTAATTTGATGACTTCGGAGTCTTTGGGTTTATGGTAGCAACAGCCCAGGAGATTCATGCAGATCCCTGTACTAATGTCTGTTCCTTTGTGTTTCAGGCTCCCAGAATGTTAGTTTCTCAGTGTTTAACAAAGGAAAGTAAGTAACCGGGAGTAGGCAAGTTTGTCGTCATCTTATACTGCCTGATTCTCTCATCTTCCTTTCTTTTTTTTTTTTTAACCTTTTATAATGGAAAATTTCAACCATACATAAACAGAACAGTATAATGAAATAGTATAATGATTTCTTTGACTTGGATGAGCATAATTGCATCCTATGCCTAATCTAGAGGCATTGTACCTATTTCAATGTCGTGGTGGTATAGAGTTTTGGGAATTACCTCTTAGGTAATCCCTAAATTTTGTAGATCTAAACTTGTCCCACATGCCTTATGTGGGATATAGTTTCATGAAATGCTTTGTGCATTTCCTTTCCTTCTTCAAGAAGGAAAGAGTCCAAATACCATCAGCTTTGGAGAGAGAAATTATGATTCTGGATTTCTGTAGGTCTTACTTCATGTTTTGATGCCATATGATTTGCTAGGTACTCCTTTAAAAGTATATCATCTAGATAATATTAAATTAATTGTGATGATAGTGACATGTTACCTATAGATACACAGCCCCAAGTATGAAATTTTTTTTCTTCTTTTTCTCTCACTTTGTCCCAAGAACACATCTAGAGTCTCTCTGATATCTACCATAGGCCAGCACAGTACTGGGCCCCTTCACATTTGTCATTTAATGCTTGTGACACTTTTTGAAGGAGTTCTTATTCTCATACACTAATTTTATAGATTAGAAAACAAAATTGACCCGTATTGTTCTTGTGTGTTTAAAGGGAACTGATATCCAAACTGTTCTTGCGGTCATGGAGTTTGTCCATAGTCTTCCTAAGGCAGCCAAGTGAATAAGTATAATCTCAGATGATGTTTTATTAAAAAAAACAGAATTTCTTTTTTTTTCTTTTGCAGGTCAGTGGTGCACAAAAGTGCCTGGCTGATCAGTGCTAAACAGGAGCTCTTCCTATACCAGACACACTCAGGTACTGTGTCCCTGCATCTTGTAAGCCTCATCCCTTCCTTGATGCCTCTTTCTTCTGGCAATTTCTCTGTGACCATTAATACCTGAAGCTGTCCCTGTTATCACGGATAGTTCTTTGGTTTTGTTTGAGATTTGCTTCTATCAGTGTCAGCTTTCGTTTCTGCAGTCATGCATTGCTATAGAAATGCCTCACTAGGCAATTCATGTTTGTATGAACATTACGGAATGCACCACAGGGATAGATCACTCACTCAGGGTGGCTTCTTGAACTAATCAAGAGATGAGCTGAGTGTGAGTTGTAGGAGGCTGCTGCCAGTATAGCCAAGCAGGCTGTTTTACATATTTTTTTTTGTTTTATAAGTAGAAGTACATTCTAAAATAACAATGAAAAGTATGGCATAGTAAATACACAAACTAGTAAAGCCACCATTCATTATCATTATTATTATCATATATCACTTATTATTATTATCATTCATTATTGTTATTATCCAGTGTGGCCCATAATTGTATGTGCCATATTTTAGAGGACTGGCAGTGTAGTAGGTTCATTTACATCTGCATCACTGCAAACATATGAGTCATGTATTGTGTGCTATATTCCTACAAGAGCTGCCACATCACTAGATGATAAGACCTTGTCAGCTCTATTATAATCTTATGGGGCCACTTTCACAGATGTGATCTGTTGTTGATCAATATTGTTATGTGGCTTGTGATGCATATTAAAAAAGGCTGGATCATAAACTTCTATACAAAATCGATAGATTCAAGTTGAATGAAAAAAAGGAAAGTCATGACTTGTTCTATGTTCTGAAAAATTACAGAAAAGAGATAGCATTTAAACATCTAAGAGCATATTCTTCTTCTTCCAGTTACTCTGATAGCCCATCTCTGAGTGTTCACTGAATAACTTATAATTTGCTGAAATTGATGCTAAGCTATTGAATTCCATCCATGAGTAAACCCTCACACTAGAAAATGAATGTTGAAAATTAGAAATTTGCATAAAGTTGCGAACTCAGATAAGTAGTACAAAGTCAGTTGCTAAAGAAGAATACCTAGATTCTAGGATTTGATACAATCACAAAGTCATTGCAGGTATGTCTAAGTGAGTTCATATTCCAGGAAGCAATCAATATCTACATTGCAAGCTGGGCTTGGTGGTCCATGCCTGTAGTCCTACCACTTGGTAGACTTAGGCAGGAGAATCCTTTGAGTCCAGGAGTTTGAGACTAGCCTGGGCAACATAGTGAGACCCTGTCTCAACAACAATACAAAACCTCAAATCTGTATTTGCCAAAAGTGCAAGATATTTCACAGGTCATAGGAAAAATGCCATTCACTTTAATTTAATATTTAAAATGTTTGCACATTAGTTACAGAGAATAGTGGGTTTCATTGCAGCATATTTGTATATTCATATAACATAATGCATCAATTTCACTCCTCCTCTTGCCCTTCTCTCCTCTCTGCCCCTGATATCTTTCTTCTACCCTAATGGTCTCTCCTCTACTTGCTGAATTTTAACCTTGTTTTTCCTTTTCTTTTAACAACACAATTAGCATGTTTGAGGGTGAATTTGAAGAAGCACCCAAGGTGATATTTACAGTGACAACATAAACAAGAATGTCAGTCCCTTGCTGAGGGTTTTACATACAACCTCAATATCTATTTTATTAACTAAATTCATTAACTATGAGATGGGTAGCATTAATCACATTTTTCAGATGAGAATACAGATGGAAAGAGTCAAAGTAATTTATCAGAAAGTTCAAGTGCTAAAAAAATGCAGATAACTCCAAATCTTTTTTTTATTTGTTCTTTTTAATTATATATGACAGTAGAATGCATTTTGGCATATCATACATACATGGAGTGTAACTTTCCATTCTTGTGGTTGTATTTGATGTGGAGTTACACTGGTTCATATTTATATATTTATATATGAACATAAAAAAATTATGTCTGATTCATTCTACTGTCTTTCCCATTCCTACCCCCATCATCCAATCTGGTGAACTTCCATTCCCCCTTCCCCATATGTTGTGAATCAGCATCTGCATATCAGAGAGAACATTCAGATTTTGGTTTTGGGGTATTAGCTTTTTTTACTTAGCATGATAGTCTACAGTTCCATCCATTTACCAACAAATGCCATTATTTAATTCTTCTTTATGGGCTGAGTAATATTCCATTGTATATATGTACCACATTTTCTTTATTAACTCAAACTTTGAAGAGCACCTAGGTTGGGTCCATTGCTTAGCTATTGTGAAATGAGCTGCTACAAACATTGATATGGCTAGGTTACTGTAGTATGATGATTTTAAAACCTTTGGGTGTAAATTGAGGAGTGGGATAACTGGGTAAAATGGTGGTTCCAATCCAAGTTTTCTGAGGAATCTCTATACTGCTTTCCAGAATGATTGCACCAATTTGCAGTCCCACCAGCAATGTATGAGTATAATTTCTTCCCCACATCCTCGCCAACATTTATTTTTATCTGTTTTCTTGATAATTACCATTCTGACTAAAGTGAGATGAAATCTCAGTGTAGTTTTAATTTGAATTTCTCTAATTGCTAGTGATGTTGAACATTTTTTTCATATATTTGTTGACCATTCATATTTCTTCTTCTGTGAAGTACCTGTTCAGTTCCTTTGCCCATTTATAGATTGGGTTATTTGGGTTTTTTTGATGTTAAGTTTTTTGAGTTCTTTATATATTCTGGAGATTAATGCTCTATCTGAGGTACAGGTGGCAAATATTTTCTCCCATTCTGTAGGCTCTCTGTTCACATTCTTGATTGTTTCCTTTGCTGTGAAGAAGCTTTGTAGTTTGATAGGATCCCATTTACTGATTCTTGTTTTTACTTCTTGCTCTTTAGGAGTCTTGTTGAGGAATTTAGGTCCTAAGCTGACATAATAAAGATTTGAGCCTACTTTTTTTTTCTTCTAGTGGGCACTGGGTCTCTTATCTAATGCCTAAGTTCTTGACTCACTTTGAGTGGAGTTTTGTGCAGGGTGAGAGATAGGGTCTAATTTCATTTTATCACATATAGATTTTCAGTTTTCCTAGCATCATTTGTTGAAGCTATCTTTTCTCCAATGTATGTTTATGATGTCTTTGTCAAGTATGAGATAATTGTATTTGCATGGGTTTGTCTGTTTGTCTTCTGTTCTGTGCCATTGGTCTTCGTGTCTGTTTTGGTGCCAATATGATGCTGTTTTTGTTACTATAGCTCTGTAATATAATGTAACATCTGGAATTGTGATGCTTCCTGCTTTACTCCTTGCTGAGGATTGCTTTGGCTATTCTGGCTCTCTTATTTTTCCAAATGAATTTCATGACTGTTCTTTATGTTTCTGTGAAGAATGTCATCAGAACCTTAATAAGACTTGCATTAAATCTGTATAGTGCTTTTGGTAGTATGGCTATTTTAACAATATTAATTCTTCCTATTCAAGAACATGGGAGAACTTTCCATTTCTAAGATCTTTTACAGTTGCTTTCTTTAGTGTTCTGTAGTTTTCATTGTAGAGGTCTTTCACCTGTTTTGTTAGATTCATTCTCAAATATTTTCTTTTCTTTAAGGTAGACAATTCTAAATGTTATGCACATAAACAACATGTTCTTGGAAGATTGCTCTCCTTGTCACCCCACCCCAATCTTCTCTGTGAATCTGCAATCACTGTGAACCCTGGCATGCTGGATAGATTGGAAGAATGTCTGATAACACAGCTATTTTGGATTTCCAGGGTCAAAATCTCTTGGAATCAGGACACTCAGGCCAGAACTTTTTCATAGCCAAAGAGGTTGGGGGGAGAGCAGAGATGGCCAACCCCACAGAGCCCCAGGATGAGCACATTGAGGGTTGGCATTCAATCACTAGTCTAGCTTATTAAGCCAATAATCTTTCTGAGTCTCAATAAACACCTATAAAATGAACAATGTGTTTATAACAACCTATAAAATAGTTGTTATTCTAACTCCAAAAATTATCCAAAGAAATTGATGAGCAAGAATCTTGGACTTCATTTAAGATTTCCTTCCCCCTCTCATTTCCATGTCCATTCAATTGCTAATTTCTCCCAGTTTCACTTCCCATGTTTCTTGGTTGTGATATATTCACTTTATCTCCACAACTACTGTCTAAATCTGGCCCCATCATCTCTTGTTACAGACTATACTGAAATGGTTTCTAAATGGCCCTTGCTCTGACCTTTGTCCCTCGTTGATCCATGCTCTACATAAACACACCTACTCTACACCACATATCTAGCACGTATCTGATGCTTCTTTCTTGCATGCTGTCTATAAGGGGTCTTATCCCCTACAAGAAATGATCCAGGCTTCTGTCCATGGCTGATCTGCTTCTCCAGCTCCATTTCTCCATGTATGTTCCAGCAACATTTGGAGACACTGTGCATTTCTTCTCCATATTTAGACTATCATTTGCTTTCAGTGTCCTTTCTCACCTTCACTTGGTCAGTTCTGATTCATCCTTTAAGATTCAGTTCAGATTCATAATGGCACATGCCTTTAATCCCAGAGACTCGGGAGGCTGAGACAGGATGATCCCAAGTTCAGAGCCAGCCTCAGCAACTTAGTGAGACCCTAAACAATTTAGCGAGACCTTGTCTCTAAGTAAAATATTTTCAAAAAGTGTTGGGGATGTGGCTCAGTTGTTAAGTGCCCTTGGGTTAAATTCCCAGTATCCAAAAAAAAAAAAAATCCAGTCCATATGTCATCTCTAGAAATTTTGTACCCTCCCCCCCATCCCCAAACTTCTCTGCACTTCATATACTTTCTCTAGTTTTGCTAAGCAAAATGACTATAATTTTACTCTTTGATACCTTCTCTATCCTAACATAGTGACCTCCTAGAAGAGAGAAACTGTGTTATGTTTATCTTTGTATCCTTATGCTATAAATTAGTTGTTCTGTGAATGTTGAAAAGTTTACCAAATATCAACTTTGTTAAAAGTTTAAGAACTTCCTAAGTTGATTTTGTCTGTGGTCTGTGTAATTTTGAATGCATATCAAAAGACTGTGTTAGTGGAGCATGGTGGAGTGCTCCTGTAATCTCAGCTACTTGGGAGGATGAGGAAGAAGAACCACAAGTTGAAGAGCATTCTGGGCAACTTAATAAGATCCCATTAAAAAATGAAACAAGCTGGGCATGATGGTGCATGCTTGTAATCCCAGCAGCTCGGGAGGCTGAGACCAGATGATTGCAAGTTCAAAGTCAGCCTCAGCAACGGCAAGGCACTTAACAACTCAGTGAAACCATGTCTCTAAATAAAATACAAAAAGAGGGCTCAGGATATGGTTCAGTGGTTGAATGCCCCTGAGTTCAATCCCTGGTACAAAAACAAAACAAAAACATGAAAACAACAAAAACAACAAAAAGATAAAGAAGAAAGAATATGTTAATCTTTTCATGTAGCTAGCCAGAAAATTCCAATACCCAATTCCAATATCCAATATCTTATACTGATAAAATGTGATAAAAAGTTTATAAAAAGGGGGAGGTTATTGTTAGAATATTGGAAATGGAGGGAACATGTAGGAACCATTTGTTCTGCCAGGTGATCTGCTTCTCTGGTCGGTGACATCCAGGATGCAGTACAGTGTCCCCACACACTCACATCACACTTACCCTCCCAGCTCAGCCCAGTGGTTCAGCAGCACATTCCCAGTGAATGGCATAGCATGGTGTGGCTTTCTTTCTGGTGACCACGAATTGCCCTAGGCTCTATGGCTCTGCACTCTTTATTGCCTGGCCTCCTTCAGTTGGATGATAACAGTTGGTATTCTATCCACATCTAGCCGTTTGGCTTAGGGTAGGACCCTGTTCACTTCAGTGTGGTCCTGCCATCATATTAATTTATTTCTCTATTTATAGATCTACATGAATATTTATATGTATGAAATATAAAAAAATTCTCCTTAGATATTCCATGTGATATTAGACATGTGTCTCCCAAAATACTTGTTTTGTCTTTTAACAGGATCTTATTAAGTTTCCCAGACTGTTCTTCAACTTGTGATTCTTCTACCTCAGCCTTCCAAGTAGCTGAGATTACAGGTGCACTCCACCATAGCCCGCTAACACATTCATTTTTATATTTGAGTGTTGGAGATCATTTTTTGCCCCGAATACCTCCTCTGCTTTGTCTCATGGGCAAAAGCACTATGAAATACTCTCATTGAATTCATATTTTGAAGTGGCAGCTATTTATGATTAGCCCCCTCCTTCATCTTATCCGAGAACGCAGCTCCACTTTCCCCTAGAGGGAATGAAATTTGAGCAAAGTGTCATAATAGGAGAGGAAAGGATGAGGTGAAGTGGGGATATGTGGCATATTACTGTAGAGGACCCAAACAACTGGGAACAGCTTGAGGGGGTGAGCACACAGAGGGGAGCCTGCAGCAGGGGCAGCAAGACTGAGTAACTCGTTCTTCTGCTTAGAGCACATCACAGATTCACATGGGTGACTCAAATTCTTGCCCAGTGGAACCAAAGTTGACTCCTCCAGATGGTGTAAACTGCTGTTCCTGACTTGTAAATAAAGTCCTTGAAGCTGAGAGACAGATTTCCTAAGAAAGCATCATGGTATATAGAAGATTTTCCTGATATGATGAGTGATTCTGCATATCCCCTCCATTTCCGATATTGATTGGTATAATATATATTTACAGTCTTTCTGGTTATGTGCATTTAAAAAATGATTATTAATAGAAAAAAATTTCAACGGATGCTGGACTTGGAAAGTTAGAATAGAAAATAAATTATGATAGCTTCTATTATTATAGGATTATCTGGGTCATATCCTGATCTATATTTGGAAGCTTACTTTTTTCTTTTTTTAATTTCTTGCAGAAATCCTATCTGTGTTTCCAGAAACTGGGAGCCATGGGGGAAGAACAGATATCACAATTACGGGAGACTTTTTTGACAATTCTGCCCAGGTTACCATAGCCGGTAACTATGTTGGGATAGCTGAAAATAGTTCACGGTTTCAAACGCTGTAGGAGCTTACATATCTCTTTATGGCCTGGGGGGCTGTGAAGAAAAGCAGTCTTTGCCTTTTCTATCGTTTCATGTCACTAAGGTCTTTTACTGGTGTTTGGTTGTGACCCGGTGGTCTTTTGGTCCTGTTGCTCTGCCAATGGGTTACGGGAACAGGATGTCCTACAGACACACTTAAAATGCATGGGCAATTTCCTCAGGTGTCCCCATCTTGCGGGGTGAAGAGAAGAAAAAGATACAGTTGCCTCTTCACAGAGGTCTACTTCTACTAAAAAGCAAGCCCTTTCCTCACTTGCCCTCCTTACCAGGAGTAGGTGGGCACTGGCTCTGCAGACTCCTCTAGAATAGCCCTTGGAAACTCTGTCACAGTACCTGTCTGGAACCATTGGTTCTGCCAGGTGGTCTGCTCTTCTGGTCGGTGATATATAGGATACAGGACAGTGTCCCCACATATTGACATCACACTTACCCTCCTGGCTTAGCCTAGTGGTTCAGCAGCACATTCCCAGTGAATGGCATTACATGGTGTGGCTTTCTTTCTGGTGACCACAAGCTGCCCTAGGCTCTACGGCTCTGCACTCTTTATTGCCTGGCCTCCTTCAGTTGGATGACAACTGTTGGTATTCTATCCACATCTAGCCCTTTGGCTTAGGTAGGACCCTGTTCACTTCAGTGTGGTCCTACCATCATATTGATGTATTTCTCTATCTATAGATCTACATGTGTATTTATATGTATGAAATATTTAAAAAATTCTCCTTAGGCATTCCATGTGATATTAGACACGTGTCTCCCAGAAAGATTGAGTGCACCACCCAGGCTCCAGGAAAGGGGGCAAGGCTCACTGCTCCTCAGGCAGGTAAGAAAGTCTCCAGGCTGTTCAAAGAACTCTCCAGTTAAGTGCTTAGTCACGAGGGTCTGGAGAATAGGAACAAACATGTTTGAATTCTGTCTCAGCTGCTTGGCTGGTTAGCTCAGTGAGCTCCCAGTCTATGATACCATTTCAAAGCTTTCATATCAGGGAGGCTCTGAGCTTTATTCAGTTGCTTAGTGACATTGCACTTCCCGCCCCAGTCAATGTGTAGCCAGCAGAGTTCAGCAGAGACCATGATCCTGACAGCATAACTACCATGCAGACACGAGCTGCTGAAGGAATCTCCAAAACTGCCTCCCTGCATCTGAGGGGTCAGTTGCTTGTTCTTTATCTAAGAAGATAGGAGCAGTGGAGTGTGCTCTTCTGTGCTCATAAGAGTACTATTAGATAAGACAGGAGAGTTGGACACAATGGGGTGCATTTAAATGTTGTTTTTCTCCCCTGTGGGCATCTGTCTGCTCCTTTCAAAAATAGGGTTGTATCATAACATTGCCACTAGCAGAGGCCTGCAGTGGGTAGGCACAGAGGAGGCAAAGTAGCAGGTGCCACCTGTCCTCCTCTGTTGAAAGCTTCCATCTCATAGCTGCAAGCACTTTTCTGCTAAACATTAGTATTGGAGGCTGAAATGTAGTTGGGGACTAAAGGTGGTTGGCATGTTACCCAGCCCAGAAACACAGGCTGCACATCTGTGCACAGCGCCTGACCTAATGGTTAGACTAGATGCAGTGAGAGTCAACTCCAGAGGCTCAGTACTTGGAAGGAGAGTTGCCCCACAGGGGAGGAAAACTTTCTAAAGAAAGGCCATTCAGGTGTGAAAATGCATGCAAAGCTTTGGCTTGAGAATTCTCCAGTTCCCAGATCCACAGTTTTTACTTAAGGAAAGCTCCCATTCAAGGAAACAAAACTATTAAAACAAGTAATTGAGAGAATGTGTGTTTCCTGTCAGGAAATATATAGCCTGCTCCCTCGTTGAGCGTTTCCCGCTTTAGCTACTTGGATAGTGGTAGGGTAATTTCCTGAAAGCAGCTATTTTTGACAGTAGTGTCCTTTATGAAATGCTTTTGAAGTTTCTGCTATGGAAGTAGGGCAAGCTACTATGCAAAGAAGTGTTTTTCCACCACGAAGTGTGGTGGATTCTGCCTCTAGGGGACATTTGGCAATGTCTGAAGGAATTTTAGCTGTTTTACTTTGGGATGGTGGTAATGATACTGGCATCAGGTAGGTAGAGGCCAGGGCTGTTGATTAGCATCCTGTGGTGCACAGGACAGCCCCTACAGAGTAACCCAGACCTAAATGTCAACAGTGCTGAGGTTGAGAAACCCTGGGTTAAGGTAACATTATTAAAATATTCTCAATTTTCTGCTTATCCCTTACCTACCTCTCCATCATATGGAGGAACGACAGTAGAAGTTTAAAATAATAATAATGACCCTAGCCATCTCTACTGAACACTTACTATATTTTGGACTCTGTATTGAATATATTTCCAGCTTCCTTTTTACTGGGGTATCATCTCTATTGGCCCCATTTTGGTGCATGAAAAAATGAAGACACAGGAGAGGGGCATTAAGCAGTTTGTTCAAAGCTACATGGCTAGTAAGTAGGAGAGCTGGGATCTGAACCCACAGGTACGAGTCCAGAGTTTACTCTTGACCTGAGTCAGTATCCAATATTGATCACACATTTGCTTTGGCCTCAGGTTTAACTTAATATAAAACATAAATTAATAAGCACATTGTTTAAAGTGCCACATATTAGCAGTATGCCACATAATTGGCTCTGAATGTACTTCCACACGTTGATGTTGTAGCACTTGAAACATTTTTCTGGGAAAAGTGAATTTTATGGAATGGAATTTCCAGGCTGAACTGGACCTTTAAAGATACTGAGGTCCACTTGAGGCTTTGGGAGGCACAAAGACAGGCCATGCCACAACACACAACACCCTGTTATCCTTCACTCACCCAAAGCGTTTGTCTGTTCTGCTTCTCAGTTCTCTTCTCCAGAACTCCTGTTAAAAAGGGCTCCCTACTCTTCTCTGGTCCTCTGAGAGCATCTCCCTTTACTGTTTCCCATCAAGTGTCTCTTTACAAGAGGTGTTGGTCTACCCAAGGAATATTTCTGCTTTCCAGAACATTTGTAGTATCTGTAGAGCCTCTCACCTGATTAGTCCATCTTCTCAGATGACTCACCTTTACAGAGAGTACCTGGGTCATTTTCACTCTGTAATTTTAAATACAGTAGTCTCTCAATTTGGGGAGGGTTGCTGTCTGAAGATTATGAAAAAAATATATATGTCTTGTAGGCAATCGAGGGCTTCTTTTTGAAGTTGGAGATGCTTCTGATGGCTTGGAACTGACTGAAGCAACCCCTGGGTACAGGTGGCAGATTGTGCCTAATGCCAGTTCTCCATTTGGGTTTTGGTCAATGGAAGGACAACCTTTCAGGTATGTTGTAGAAGAGGTGGAAGTACTTTACTAGCTTCTGTGAGGCTGATACAGATAATTAAGGCAGTGAGGTTCTGGAGGAGAACTCATCACACCAGCCGATTCAGCAATGGAGCTGGACAGTGTTCTCAACTGCTAGTGATCAATATGTAAAATTCATATTTTTACAACTCTGCTTACAATCTGCTTTGGAGATGATAATCCACTAGAATATCAAGCTAAGCAGTCTTGGTGGATAGCAGAGTAGTATCTCCTGCAGATGTAGTGGAGGTAAAGTGAACATCTGGTTGACACCAAAGTAAGATGCAAGAATTTCCCTTTGGGCCTGTGAAGGATCAAAGGCTGGGCAGCAGCAGTTCTGTTGGAGCAGCCATCCACCGCTGAAAGTTCACCTCATGGCCACTGTACAGCAGGGCAATCTCTTGTGGGCTCTGCAAGATGTGGTTTACTGCCATAGTTATTGCTTGTGATCATGATTTTCCTGTTGAGTGTTTTGAGTCTTTACTTTCTTCAATGCTGAGATTTACAACATTCAATAGTAATCTTAAAAAAATATGAAAAGTTCAAGAATTGTTTAGACACTGCTTCCTTAGTGCACTCTCAGGGTAGTTGGAGAAGCTAATCCTTTGCAGCTGATCCCTTAAAAATCCTTCTCAGAGAGGACAGTGGTGGCTCCTGATGTGAACTTCAGTCCATCTGAGATCTCCTCAGGGGAATTACCATTTTATATTTCAGCTTAGTTGTGGAATGAAAGGCGTTGTTCCTGGTCTAGGGAATCCCAGGCAAGGAAGAAGCCAAGGAGGGAAGGAACACTGTTGGTGGAATAATGCTTCTTGGAGCTCACTGACTAGGAAACGAACCAATAGTCTACCATTGAAACGTGCTATCACCTGGGGTCCATTGTAGCACCTCGTATGCATCTTTTGATTCATATGATAGGACTTGTAGGTTATGTCCCTTTCACTATCATTTCGAGGAGCCACAAACTAGATTGTAAATCATTTCCCATTCTCCCTCTTCTTCATTTTTTAAAATTAAATATTGGTGTATTGATTGATTGATTGATAAGGTAATGTTGTTATATTGGTGACCCTTTAAAACCATTATTTTGGAAACTATTTTCAAATATAAAATTCTCTCTAAAGACAAAAATATATGTATACATTAAAGGAAAGATTTAAAACTTCTTTATAGTGATGACCTGCTGATTTTTAGATAATAATATAAGCAAAAACTAGTGTTGATATTTATTTAAGTGCTTTGATCAGTTTTTAAACTGTATCTGTCTCTAAAATAAGATCACTAGAATTTATCTTGAAACAGTTCATTGAAATGGTCTTATTTTTAAAAAGTTTCACAAGATTTCCTATGATCTTCTTCAAAGTTACATTTTATGACTTTGAATTTAAAATTATTGACCCTTCAATTGATTTTTCTCTTTGGGCCATAATTGTTTCTAATTTGGAGATTATTCTGCATGTGTTGAGGTTTTCTGGTAATCTCAGAGCAAATTCTGATGGGTGGTCTCTCTTTACTTCTGATCATATGGATGACATTACTTTGGTTGAGTTACCACCATGGTTCATGGCCTATGCTGGCTGTAGCAGGCCCTCTTCTCAGCTAGGCCTTCATAAGGTCCTAAACTGTGGCTGTGATATTCTCAGTGATGACACAACCACAGAGGGATTTGTGACCTTGTGAAGACTGAGGTACTGAGATAATGAAAGATTTATGGCTCTTCCTAGAATACCCTGGACAATCATGTGGCATAAGAGGCAGGATCTTCATCATCATTACCATAAAGAAAAGCAAAGTACCAGGACAACCATATGTTGGCTCAGCGATTCAGACCTTGGTTACTCTCACTTGACTCTGTGTTCTTCTGCTTTACAGAGCGCGGCTCAGTGGGTTCTTTGTGGCTCCAGAGACAAATAATTATACATTCTGGATCCAGGCAGACAGCCAAGCTTCCTTGCATTTTAGTCAGACAGAGGAACCAAAGACTAAGGTATTCATCTTCCTCTCATTTTCCTTTTCTTGTACCCTTGAAAAAAGGAAGAGTCAAAGCAGAGTTCTCATTTCTAAAGGTGATTATAATATTCCATGAGATGATCAGGGGCTCTAATTGTTGAAAAAGAATGTGGTTGAATATAATGGTATCTATTATTTATTGAGCATTTACAATAAGCCAGGAATTCTGCTATAGTTTTTACATAGTTCACCTCTAATCTTCACTGTATATCTGTGAGATATGTATATTTATCTCCATTTTTCCAGATAAGGAACTTGAGGCTAAGAAAGATTGTATGGCCAATCCCAGAAAGCATGGATAATAAGAGGTATATTCAGGATACATATCATATTTGTTTGACTCCAAAATGTATACCTTTCCACTACTTTTGGGTAGAGATGTAACCAGCCTCATATAGAAATTTCCTCATAAACTTTGGGGGAGAAGTGAAGATGCCTTTAAAAAATAGCCAAATGAAGCCATCATGTGATATGACCCAGCTATACCACTCATAGGTATTTATCTGAAAGAATTAAATCAGCATACTATAGTGATATGCATACCCATGTTTATAGCAGTAGTACAAATCACAATAGCTAAATTATGAAACCAGCCTAGATATCCTTTAATGAATAAATACATAAAGAAAATGTGGTATATATAGAGAGTGGAGTTTTATTTAGCCATAAAGAAGAATTAAATTATGCCATCTTCAGGAAAATGGATGGAATTTGAAAACATATGTTAAGCAAAATAAGCCAAACTTAGAAGGTCAAGTGTCATATATTTTTTTTTCTCATATGTGGAAGATAGAGAGTAAAAAGGAAAAGAAAGGTGTGGGGGGAATCTCATAAAAATTAAAGGGAGATCAGTGGAGTAGAGAAGAGGGACCAGGAGAGGGAGAAGGGGAGAGAAATACTGGGGAGTGATATTGGCCAAACTATATTGTTACATTGTGTGCATGTACAAATATGTGACAACAAATCCCACCATTATGGACAAATATAATGTACAAATAAAATATGGAGAAATAACTTAAACATTAAAAAATGCAGCCAAGATTCACTTGTGCTATTGACAGAGAGTCACCATACTTTTAATTTGGAATTGATTTGCTAGTTGGTTAGAGAAAGGTCATAGATTGTGATGTTGTTGGGTCATTCTAGGTCAGATAAGGAAATTGAGGCTAAGAAAGATTGTATGACCAATCCCATAGGGCTTAATACTACTTTTAAGTAATATTAAGGGCTTAATATTACTTTCTAGGCTTAATACTACTTTTTTTCTCTAGGGCTTAATACTACTTTTTTCACAGCATCATGTAGACCTGTGTTGTTAGGTTGGCTGTTCCTGCTTTAAATATGGTCTGTCTGGCCTCATTTGAATACTATTGAGAGAGAGAGAGAGAGAAAGAGAGAGAGAGAGAGAGAGAGAGAGAGAGAGAGAGAGAGAGAGAGAGAGAAGTGGAGAGAGAGGGAAAGAGAGGAGATGGAGGAGCATGAGCATCAGCAACCACAGGGCTGAGGTGAGTGGCCCACTTGCTGGGAAGGGCTGACTGGTTCAAAAGTCTCACGTTAGTAGCTGTCCAGACATCCAAAATTTGAGAAGAAAATGACTGGAAACTTCATGTTTGTCCTGATATGTGAATTTGGGCACAGGTGGAAGTGGCCTCCGTCGGGGTTGGCACTGCTGATTGGTTTGACTCCTGGGAACAGAACGGGAATGAAGGGCCCTGGCAACAGAAGACAGCCAAGTTGGAGCTGTTGGGGGGAGCCAAGTACTATCTGGAAGCAGAGCATTATGGGACAGCCCCCAGCAGGGGAATGAGAATTGGGGTCCAGATCCACAACACCTGGCTGAATCCTGATGTGGTCACCACTTACCTCCGAGAGAAGCACCAGATCCGAGTCCAAGCCCAGAAACTTCCAGAAATACAGGTCTGCATTTCCTTCAGTCCCACGAAGCGGAAAGTCTTGCTTAGTAGAAGTACTGTCTGGGAGAGGGGACCTGAGTTGTAATTATACTGGGACATGTACTAGATAAGATTGTGAAGCTGTTTTCTTAAAAATGCAATTTTATTATTGAGATTACCTTACTCATTGACTTAGTTTCAGGAATTTAAGTTTCAGGTAAGTCTTTTTTTTGAAAACTTATTCTCCAGATCCTTCAAACACACACACACACACACTCATGTGAGTGCACACACAGGAAACACCAGTTTTTTGACTAATGCAGGTCCTATTTCCTGATATGCTGTGCTTTCTAAGTCTACTCATAAAGATTGTCCTACTTAGTAGGTCTTTGAGTTTTGCCCCATATTTTTGGTGAGAAACTTTGATGTACTTTTTGTTGTTCACTTTTTGATGTACAAAGACAAATGGATTTGGACTCTGTGTTCTAAATCTTCTAGTCTAACAGTATCATGCACATAGATAACCATAGAACAAAGTAGAAAATGACAGAAGATTTAAGGGATTAAAAGCTACATAGATCTTATTCCAGAATAAAAATGTAATGGGTGCAACAGAGAACGTGTTGGAAGCAGAGACTGAATAAGCCTCTGGGAGAGTGGGACATTTCTTGTGGCTGCTTCTGTCTCCTGGACCACCATGGAAGAAAGTGCTTGGTGAGAAGGGGTGGAAGTGTGGCATTCAGTGGCAACTTTAAGTCTTATGCTCTCAGAAAATTGGCACAGATAAATGGGGAGGTAGATACATATATTACTCCAAGAAAAGTTTCCATTAGGTGAAGACACTGTGTCTTCAGAGCCTCCTACATCATAGTGCATTTAGAAAACTGAAATTATTATAAAACGGAAATAGCTGGGGAGGAGACATGTTCTGTGTTTCTAGACTGACTGTGTCAGTTAGTCCTGTCTCTCTTGACTTTTTAGATGCTGAATGTATCAGGCAGAGACAACCTTTTCCTTATGTGGGACAATGTTTCTAGCCAGCCAATCCCTGCAAATGCCACAGCCCATCAGGTGAGATCCTTCTTCAAATAATGAGGAGTAGGGTGGGAGAACTTGGGATGGTCTTGATACCTACCGTATGGAATCCTGGTAATATTTTTTTTCCTTTTAATAGATTCAAACCACCATTGAGGAGTTACTTGCTGTAAAATGCACACTGGAACCCCTTTCAGCCAACATCCTCCTCCGGCTTGGATTTGAACAAGGTGGTGTTTCTAGCTTGGCAAATTCTTATTCTCTTTCCCATTATTTTCTTCTTCTACTTTTCTGTAAGATAAAAGAACAATCTTTGTTTCCTTTTCAAGGTGCTAACAGATTCAAAGAAAAATGTGAGCACTAGATTTGACACTGAGTGGCCAGAAGAGAAGCTATATGATTGGGAATGAGAAGTTTGGCAGAGGGGTCAGGAGAAAGGCTAGGTGTTCCTCCTGAGCTTTGACATAGGGTAAGGCACTTCCTGGGAAGTAGGAGGTAGGAAGAGGTGCAGACAGACATAGCCACAACTGTGCAATCCTGTTTAATTCAAAATGCATCTAAAAGAATTATTACATTAAAAATTGGTCTCAAAAAATTCTTAACATGTGAGAATGTCTACATGTTACATGTTACATGAGGATGTCTACACTAAGGTGAACTAACTTCCAGTTGACTACCTTTGTCTCTTTGCTTCTCGTTTTTTCTTATGTCTTGGTGCACAGAGAAAGTGGTAGTGGATTTCCATGTCCAGGCAGATGGAAAGGGTTTCTGAAAGCTGGAGTCTTCTAGCTGCAGGCTGCATGGCACGATGCCATGTCCAGCTCTCCCGGGGGCTGAGGGGCCAATATCAGAGCGAACACACAACCATTCCCTGCCCACACATTGGGAAGCTCTATCTGTTTAACATCTTTTCCTGCCTTGCTGTTTTACCTGAACTACATCCAGGACTGGAAGGTTCCAGCTCTGATGGGGACATCACCAGTGGGACAGAGCCCTTCTGTGGCAGATTCAGCCTCCGTCAGCCTCGACAGCTTGTCCTGACCCCCACAGTTACGCAAATGAGCTATCGACTAGATGAGTACCCCCATGTGAGTAGCAGCCCTCATGCTTCCAAGTCCAGTGGGTCCTGAAGGGTTGATAGTGTTCTCTGGGTTTGAGACTGAAAACTTCCAGAAAGAAGAGCAATTGCTGTGATTTCCCCTAGGCACCTCAGGTGGGGGGTGTTGTTCCAGGTGTAAATAGATACACCTCACCCCTATTTGTATGTTGTCATCTAGAAATGCCTATATTAGCTATAAGCCTACAGAAGGTTTTCTTTGCAGACCCTGCAGTCAGACTGTCAGACCCTCTGGTTTTGAATCCTGACTATACCCTACAATCCTTCAATATCTTATTTAAGTACAGCATGCTTTGGTTTACTCATCAATAAAATGGGTAATAATGTGGTCTAATTATCAGGAATGTGGTGAAGATTAAACATATACGTATATTAAAGTGCTTGCCCAGAGGTCAGGACTCAGGAGGCTAGTTATTGTTGTCATGGTTATTGTTATTACTGATGGATTGATGGACAGGTTTTTTTGAGCATCTGTTATATCCTTTGCTTCAATAGCTCTGCCATCCTTCATAAAAGGGCTGCAGCTCATTTGCTCTTTGGGAACCACAGTGAAATCTGGAAAGGTGGAGCTCATGGCAGCAGCTTTGTGTTTTCATAGTTGTGCTATTGGCTGTGGGAGAGGGGTTAAATGGTTCTGGTCAGGGGCTCAGCTATCTTTAACCTCTCCTCTATGGCAGGCTCCCACTGGGGGTTGATTGCCCCTTAGGGGAGTGTTGGAAATGCATGGAGATATTTTTGGTTGTCACACTGGGGAATTGCTATTAGTATCTGGTAGGTAGAGACCAGGAATGTCTCTGAACATCCATTAATATGTAGAAATGTCCCCACAACAATGAGTTACCCAGCTCCCATGACATCATGAGTTCTGAGGTGAAAAGTTTCTTGTGGCAGAAATCCTTGTGTTTATTTGAATTAGAAACCAAGGATGTTGGGGAGTTAGAGTTGAAGAAAGGCTCAAAGAGGGTGAGTGATTTACTTAAGTTTGCACAGATAATTGGGTTAAAGCAATTAAGATTGGATACTTTAAAATCCTTAGGCATTTAAAAACTCTGTTGAATGTTGATATTTTTGATCTCAAAAAAGCATTTACTTCACTTCCCTCTAGCTTTATTGAAGTAAGTAAATAACAATTTGCTCTAAATTATTCGTGTCTCAGCTGGACCGGTAAGCTGCAGAAAGGTAGGAACTGGGCTCTCTCATGGAATGTGGCAGGGTTCTAGACATGTGGCCCCTCATTATACATTGTTTAAATGGCTGCTTCTTGCACCAGTGGAACTGAAGAACTTATTTTGTGTCTGTAGATGTGTATCGCATACAAAGGCTATATGAATAAGATCCTAAAGATGACTGTGTCTTTCACAATTGGCTTTCAAACCATCAAAAAGAAGAACAGCACCTGTGACTGGAGTCTGCCTGGGACCAGCCCTGAGAGGTAGGGATTTGGTGGGAAGGGGAGGAGGGGATTCTTCCAGCTGGGGGAACTGGGGGACAGTGGCCCACTTGAGATACTGAGAGTCTTATATTTGGGACTCAGTTACTAACATGGGGCTTTGAACTTGTTTTTTTTTTTTTTTAATTTGACAACCAGTTTGACTTAAAAGCAGTCAGCTATTAAGAATAGAATAGTGCTGGGCGCAATGGTGCATGCCTGTAATTCCAGCGACTTGGGAGACTGAGGCAGGAGTATTGCGAGTTCGAAGACATCCTCAGGAACTTATCAAAGACCTAAGCAACTCAGAGAGACCCTGTCTCTAAATAAAATATAAGAAAGGGGTGGGGATGATGCTCAGTGGTTAAGCACCCCTGGGTTCAATCCCTAGGGTCAGAGAGAGAGAGAGAGAGAGAGAGAGAGAGAGAGAGAGAGATCCTTAAAGGAATAGAATTGTAGAACCCCTATTTGGGAGAGAATTTAGAGACCATCCGTTGACATAATAGATGAGGAAAACTGAGAACTTATGATTCACCAAAATGCATTCAGTTAGTGCCTTTGGAAAAATGAAGGCATCCTGATCCTTGATTCAGGGCTCTTTGCACATATTTCTTCTGGGTATTTTCAGCAGCTTTAAACCTAAATGAGTCAGTAATGTCCAGCACCAATCTTCCCTGTGGTTAGAGCTAAACATATAATCTTCTTAAGATGTCCAATTAAATTGTAATTTAAAAATGCTGCTGATGCCGAGTGTCACGAGTGAATGATTGACTTACAGAGTGACTGCCTAGTGTTACAGCCAAAACTGAGCTGAGCCGATGCCAGGTGGATGTTTGTACCCAAGGCACACAAGCTGCTTCGGCACAGGGATTGTGGAGTCTTTGGCTGCAAAGTCCTTGGACAGGACTGTGGATGTTACTCAGAGGCCTTTTCCCCCCTGTGCTGTCTGCAGCTGGGAGTTCACATGCACTGACCTCTGGGACACATGCATGCATCGCTCCGGGGACCTCCAGCTGCCTCTGTCAAATGTCCCTGTGTCAATTCATCAGATTGTCCTCCTTCCTTTGCCCCAAGAGACTGGTCAGCTCTATGTGGATGAAATTATTATCACAGACACAAACATAACAGGTGATGATCAAATGTGCCATCCTCCATGAACCTGCCTGTCAAATGCCTACCTCGCACTTTCCCACTAGAGGTTGTTGTTCTTTTAATAGAGTAATGGCTGATTCTCTACTTTATCTGCTGTGGTTCTGAAAGCAGAATGATTGGAGCTGGGTGACCTTGGTTCTACTTCTCTCTCACTGGTCCTTTTTCTCCTTATTTATCTCATTTATTGACTCTTGTTTCTGGTACTTGTGTTCTTATTCTATCACTTTTTGGCTGGGAAGCTTTGGTTTCCTCATCTGTAAAATGGGCATAAGAAGGAACCTATCTCACTGAATTTCTGTGAAGCTCAACCAAAGTTTAATATAAACCACTCATTACAGGTTCTGACCATAGTGTGCTTTACAAATTAAGCAGTTATTATTGTTGTTATTAGGCCAGCAGGATTTCTCCACCTCTCAATTCAATTTATCTGTCGTACAGAGTGCTAGAAGTATTGCAATGATATTTGGTCTCCCATATAGGCTTGAGGTATGATTTATGAACTTGAAGGAAGACAGGGAGAGTGAGGAGCCATATGCTCCTGAGAGAATGTCCCTGTCCTTCTTTAGGTCCATCCACACTCCTCCCACTCATTCTTCAGAGCTCAGACCTGGTCCCCTCTTCCACAAAGTTTCCTTTGGCCTGTTTTGGGCACAGTGTTCTCCCCTGGCTGTGTTGTCCTTCTTGTAGTAGAGACAAAGTGTTACCAGGGGCCCAGTGAATCTGGCCATGTTTAATGTGCACCATAGCCAAAACCGAATGGTGCAGTTTGCTCTTAGGGCCTCCCCATTTCTCAGTTTTGTTCCTTTTCTTTTTCTGTTAAATATTTTATGACTTTGGGGCTCAGCTTTCCTGTTTTTTTTTTCTTAATAGCTTCTCTCTCTCCAAGGAGAAAAAGATGATATAGTTACTTGAACTTTGATTTACAAAGTGCCTAACTTTTTAGTTTTTTTTTTTTGTCTAAAAATTGCAGATCTGAGTATAGGGAGATTGAGGATAGGTGACAAGAAGACTCTTTGTCAGCCCTGAAATTACATCATCTCTGATACTCATCAAAATTTCATTTCCTATCTGTTTCAGTGAGTTAAGTGGTTTTTTTTTCTTTTGAGCTGCTGGGTCAGATTGGGCCATTGCTTAAATTTCAAACCATTCTTATTCTGGCACACTTAGAAAATGACAGTATTCCAAAGGCATGCAAGGATACCTCTTGGATTTGTTGGTGCCTACGATAACTGGCTGGGGGACTTTGGTGTCCCCAAGTGCAGTCTGGATTTCCAGAGGGCTGAGGGAATCAGTATTTCATATACTTGAACCCACTGGTTGGAAAACTCTGGTGCCATTTTACTTTCTCCTTTAAATGGCATCCTGGCCCTCCAAACCCTGGAAGCCAAGGGTCCAGAATCTTTCTTGCAACTGCCATCTTTTCTGCCAGCAAATGCTCTGTGGACCTGGAATAATCTAGGAGTGAGGTGAGGAGGGAAGAAGTAATGGAGAGAGTGGGAACAAGAAAGAAGCCTGAGGTTGGCTTGGGTGAAATGGCTTTCTTCCAACTTTGTCAAGTTACTCTACTGGCAATGATTTTGTTCTAAGGATTAATTCATGGCAACATAAACACTACTCAATTGGGCTCAGGTTTCAAAGTTAATTATATGTTATTTATTTGATTCATTTAATATTTAATTATATTCACCTATCTAATGTCCTCTATAAAAATTATTTTAATCTAGTGTCAGTTTCCATTTATTTTTTATTTAGTTCCTCAGAAGCCCATAAGATGGTCCTATGATCTACATCCTACGAATGAGGAAACCAAGGCCAATGGGGTATCTCTTAGCCCTTCCCTTTCTCCTTTCTCTTCTTGCAGAGCACACAGCTGGGATGTGAGAGAGATCAGAATCTAGGTATCACTGACACTCGAGCAGACCCTTCAGAGGCCCAGTTGAGCTAATAATCATGTATTGAACACCTACTTCATGTCCAGTGTTGTTCTAAATATTGAGCACACAGAGATGGATAAACCAAAGATGTTGCCCTTGAACTCTTTATAGTCTAAATTGTTTTTTTTTTAATTATTGGTTTCTTTTAGTTATCCATGACAGCAGAAACCATTTTGATATAATTATTCAGGCATGGAATATATTTTATTCTAGTTAGGATCCATTCTTAGGGGTGTACATGATGGTGGGATTCACTGTGTTGTTTTCATATATGTACATGGGGAAATTATGTCAGATTCATTCTACTGTCTTTGAAGTTGTCTTTTTTTCCCAGTGCCTAATAGGAGGGTAAAAGGATATTAAAAATATATGACACTGGTCTCACTAAACTCCCTGCCATGAGATTGTTATCAGTCATGCATGTCAGGATCCCCACTTTGCAAATGGGAAAACTGAATCATAGGGAGTTCATGTCAGTTGGCTTACTGGGGACCCAACATAAGTGGAGAAAGTGTTTGCTTTTTCAGCACTCTGGGAATTAACACTGTGATAGAGGACCTGTATGGGTCTGCCTCCAAGAGCACAGTCAGTGACCTTTGGCTGACTCAGAGCTTATGGGACTTTGCCTTGGAATCAATCATCCACTGAAGCCATGACCTTGCATTTCTTTTTGGTATTAAACTGAATTGTGGGTCCTTCTGCCACCTGTCCCTTTGCTTTCTGTGTCAGCAGGTGGGTAGGAACCTGTGCTTTAAGGGTGCACTGTGAGCTGAGTAACCTAACACCTCCATGTGGGATTCTTCATACATTGCTCTGTCACCTTGAATTACTTGATAATAACAGGATCATTGGTCTCTAGTTTCTCCAGTTGATTATGGAACAGCTCTTCCAGGAGGGAACCTGGTGGAATCCATCTCTGTGGTGGGATCCCCTCCAGTCTACAATGTAGCCTTCTGGCCTGCAGGGTGTGGCCTGGAGCTCCCACTTATCACTGCATGGTAAGGAGTGGCTTTGTACCCCTGTCCCTCCTTAGGATTGCTGGTTGGCTGTGGGGATACAGAAGGGGGACTTTTGTCTGGACAAGGACCTGTTTTACTGCTTAAAGGAATGTTTTCATCTTGAGCATCTAGCATCAGACTCACCAGGAGGTCTTGCTAAAACAGATTGCTGGGCCTCACTTTCAAAACCTCTAATGAAGTAAGTTTGGGACAAGGCCTGAGAGTTTGCATTTTTTTAATGAGTTGCATTTTTTAATGAGTTTCCTGGGGATGCTGATTCTGCTGTTCTGGGGACCACACTTTGAGAACTATTTTCTATTAACTTTGTTTTAAAATAGTTGAATTTTTGTGCTGTTTCGAGATTTACATTCACATTGTTTTCTGTTTACTCTCCCATTCCATTCCCCATATATTGATCTTGTTGAGATCCTTTGAAGTTAAATGAAATAATAGTCTTAAGGAACACAAACAGGCATTTCTGAAAACTCACCACCAGATGGCATTAGAATGCTATAAGTCTGGCTTCTTAGAAGTCAACTATTTCTAGACATTGGTTTACAAAGCAACAACTAAGGGTCAGGTTCCCAGAAGTCTGTGAAACATATGCATGCTTTAATTCATTCTTTTAACTTTTCACTTAAACCCCAATACAATGGAAGAATTCAGATGCTCTGACTTTAATATGTGCGTTTCATACATAGATATGTAATATGTGTGTTCATGTATGCCTGCCTCGAATCTCTTTCTTTTGTTTCAAAAAATAAGTTCTCATACTTACAACCTGCTGGATGGTATACTAAAGGGAGGGAAAGAAAGCTTGAATCTGTGCTTTATTTTCCTTGATATATTGTTTGTTCCATGGTCCTCTGAGCAGGAAATGTGTTAAATCCACCACCAGAATGAAGAGGTGAGAGAGCTTTGGTGGTAGAGAGGAAGCTTCCATATTGGTTGTCTCTAAATGCTAAAGTTATTAACTCTGAAGCAATAGTGGCTAATTTACATCACTGAGTAGTTTCATGCTGAGAGTGGTCCTCACAACCTTCTTTTCTGAGTGTTCCTCAAATCCCTTGGCTCCTCTGTAAGCTTCTGGCCTAAGCAAGACAGAACAACTTTCAGACTAGGTTATCCAGGATACATTCCCCACCCAGGCAGTGCCACTCTGTCATTTCTCTGTGTTGGCTCATATGCATATCAATATGTGGTACTTAAATAATACTATTGACAGATATTGTACAAGTTTCATTGAAATTTTGGAAAATACAGAAAAACACATAGAAGATAAAATTCATTCATAGTCTCACCATGGAGAAGTAACTTCTGTTAACACATTGGGCCTATATTCTGCATTTTTTTCCCCCAGCAGTGTTTGCATACATATATCCATGTGTATATTGACTTTTTAAATGTCAAACTGGGATCATATATTACATACTCTATGTATTACTAACCCTTTTCAGCTAATATTACAGGTTGAATCTTTAAACCCCTCGGCAATGATTTTTTTCTCTTTTTTAATGTTTATTTTTTAGTTTTAGGTTGACACAATATCTTTATCTTACACTTATGTGGTGCTGAGGATCGAACCCAGTGCCTCGTGCAAGCTAGGCGATTGCTCTACCACTGAGCTACAACCCCAGCCCTCAGCAATGATTTCTATTGAGTGAATTGGTCTATTTGGCTTCTGGAACAAAATAACATAGATTGGCTATCTTATATAGAACAGGGATTTATGTCTCACAGTTCTGGAGGCAGGGAAATCCCTGATTGGTGCTCCCACAGGTTCAGTGTTTGGTGAGGGTTTTCTTCCCGGTCCATAGATAACACCTCATCATGTTCTCACTTGGTGGGAGAAAGGAACATCTCTCTGGGCTTATTCTGTAAGATCACTATTCCCATGCATGAGGGCTGTACCCTATGACCTAATCACTTCCATAAAATTTCCACTTCCCAATAGCATTACCTTGGGTATTAGGATTTCAACATGTGACTTGTGGGGACACATATGTTCAGACCAAAGCAATAGCTAAATAGTGTTCCACTTCATGATGTGTCACAATTTATTGGGCCAATCTGTCATTTTAAAAGCAGGATTGGGTTAGGCATGGTGGCACACACCTGTACTCCTAGGGGCTAGGCAGGAGGGTTGCGAGTTCAAAGCCAGCCTCAGCAAAAGCAAGAAAGCAAGGCGCTAAGCAACTCAGTGAGACCATTGTCTCTACATGAAATACAAAATAGGGCTGTGGATGTGGCTCAGTAGTTGAGTGCCCCTGAATTCAATCCCCAGTGTTCTAAAAAATAAAATAAAAATAAAATCAGGATTGGGTGCGTAGTCTGTAGATAGGAGTTATATAAGAACTGGGCTAGCTGGAGTGACTGACGATACTTCAGCTGGGGATACTAGGTGAGGCAGCACCTGTGGACCAGAGCACACTGGCTTTTTGTTTGAATATGTAAATGAGACTAGAGAAAACCAAGTTCTCTTTCAACTTTGTGGACTGAAGTCATTCGCTGTTCTCTGCTCCTAGGATTAGTGTTGGGTGAAGGGTGGAATGCTCTTAAAGAATTCTCATGTTTATATTGCACTTTTCTTGCTGTGGTGGAAGAGGGATGCTCAACATATGGGAGCTTGGGCTCCTTTGCCTGGGACCATGGGTGATGAACTAACTGGTCTTTGAGATGGAGCAGTGTTCTATGTGAATTGGCACATCTTGAAGGCTCTGTGGTTAATGCTTTGCTTCTGACATGCTGCAGCTCTGTGCCCACTGAAGAAACAGAAGGATCTGGACCGGTCCATGTGACAGCACAAAGACTACAGAGGACAAGTCCACCTTTGGGAGGACATTTTCGCATCCAATTTCCTAACACAGAGATTCCTGGTAAAGGGGCAATTTGGGGGTGCAAGACCTCCCATTTCTATCTCTAAGGGCATTGTCAGACAAACACGTCCTGTGAATAGTTAGATTGTCTGATAGTCTCAAAGTTATTTTGTTTGTCCCATGTCTGAAAATGGCCTTCTTAAAATTAAAGATGTGGAAAGGGACTTCCTGTTTATATAACCCAAACTTTTAAATTTTGTAGATATGGAAATTGAGTGGATTTGCTTCCTGGAACTGTCACAATAAATTATTACCAACTTAGGGACTTAACACTACAGAAATTTCTTCTCTTCTAGTTTTGGAGTCCAGAAGCTCAAGATCAAGTTATTGCAGGCCCACACTCTCCACAGCAGGTTCTAGGCGAGGACCCCTTTCCTGACTCTTCTAGTTTTTGGTGGACATTGGCGTTCCTGGGCTGTGGATATATTACTCCAACTTTGTGGACACGCTGCCACTGCCTCTTCCTCTCTGGTCTCAAAACATCCCCTGCTCTCTCTTATAAGGATACATAGAATTACATTTGGAGCCTACCTGGATAATCCAGGATAAACTCCTCTCAGACCTTTATTTAACCAAGTCTTTTGGCACATGATAATATTCATTCCTTCCCCTTGTAAGGTAACATTAATATGTTCAGGGGATTAGAGCATTGGCATATCTCTTGGGGGCCACTGTTCAGCCAGCTACACTGAGGCACACCCAAAGATCATACAGATAAGTAGTTGATGACAGGGTCTGGATAAGAACCTGTGTATTTGAGTCTCAGGTCAGTCCTCTTCTCTCTAGAGTCTCCTAGGCCAAGTTCCTTGATAGCAGTGTCCTTTAGAGTTAACCTAATGGTGACACCATGAGTTCTTGAGTATTTTAATGGTCATAACAAATGTGGAAAGAAATTGCAGATGCAATTAGGGTAGTGCTTTTAAATCTTTAAGAATACACGTTTCACAAGTGATAACAACAGTATGTTACTTATTTGATAAAAGTATGAAGAACCAAAAGGGAGGCTCAGGAAAAACTCAAGAGAGACTGGATAAAAGTTGGTACATAGCTCAAAAATCTCCTGCCGGAGCAGAAAGACATTCAGCTTGCAAAGGATCTTCTTGGGTGGAACATGAGAGTGTTTTTACTGAAATCTGGCAACTTAGGAACAGTTGAGTGCCCCTTGGTCATTATCTGATGCATGAACAAGTGCCTGCAGTGTTGCACTGCCATGATGTCCCTTACTGACCTTTACTTTTCACAAACAAGAGAGATTATTTGAGAGAGTCCTTTCTGCCGTCCTGTTCTGTTGCTGATGTTCCTCACATCGCTGCCTGCAAAAACAAGCAGGGGAAGTCAGATTTCACCTGGCATTTTGAAATGGTGACGGCCCTGAAATTATGTTTAAATGTAGAAAAATGATTTTTTTTCCAACGATGAGATACTTTTGCCCACTGAAGGAACAGAAGGAAAGTGGCATTTTATTAACCCTTCAGGGCAGTGTGGAATTCAAGAGGAAGGCTCTTGTGTCAGTACAAGGCACCCTGTGTTTTAATCTAAACTTCTCTCGTCAGGTTGGCAAGTTTGAGAATATGGTTAGTTTTCATTTTCTTCATCTCTGAAGTAGGCATCAGTACCCAAGTGACCCACCACACAGGGCTGCTGGAAGCAGCTAATGAAATGGAAACTTTTGGTAAAGCATGAAGCAGGGTTCAAACACAGAGCTTTGTTATTTCTCTGTGGGGATGTGGAATGGGGAAGCAGGTGGTTGGGCTTAAAGGAAATTCTAATAGAGAAACTGAAGTTAAATGCCAACATTCCTCAGCTGGGTTGGCTAAGTTTTTATGGGTGTCAGCTGCCGTATGCCTCCCCCACTCCCTGTGAAAAGTGGCCAACTTTTCTCTGTTCACAGGGCCAGCTAAAATTTTCCAGGGAAAACCCAATGTTTAATTAGACTTTCAGCCTTTCTATAGATGTCTGGAGCTTATGTTTCTACTTGACAGTCGAGACTGTTTTGTCTGATAAAATGTGTTCTCTGCTTGCTATTTGATATGATTCTGATGGAAGATATTACAACATAAAAAGTGGGCATCTACTTGAGTTTGCACTGGGAAAAATGTTTCAGCTAGGGCTGAAAGTTCTCTTGAAGCTATATCTTGAATTGGAAGGTCTCCTGCAAATTTAGTAGGCATCCTGGTGTTTATTCTTCGTCATCCTTGATGATGAGACCCTGAAAGATGAATTAACCAGACTTGTGTTTTCTATGCCCAAACCTTCCCTTACAGATGTCCCTGTGCACATTTCTGCAAGGCATCTTCAAAAACTCTTACAGGACAATGCTGATAACTTCACCTCCAGATACCTCAATGTCAGTGATTTCACTGTGAAGGAGGATCTAAATGCTTGCTATGAACATGTATGGACCCTTTCCTGGTCTACCCAGATTGGGGATTTGCCCAATTTTATCAGAGTATGTATGATATCACCTTGGGTGCTGTGAATTTGGTGCCTTAGGGAAATTTTGTAAAAAAAAAAACAAAAACAAAAACCAAAAAACAAAACAGAAAATCAGAATTATATGAATTAAAACCCTCATGGATTATTATTTTGTTGGAATATTCAAGCAAGGGATCCTATGCTTTCTTTCTGGAAGCTTTCAACAAATATTTTGCACTTCGTGTTCCTCTTGAAAAATTTAGACTCAATGTCTCTTTTCCTAACTCTCTGTAATAGAGAAGTTGTTGGTCAGTGTCCGTCGTTCAATAATTCCACATCTGTTATTGGATAATTTAAGCAGATGTGATTGACTTAGATTTTCATGGAGGCAGATGGCAGAACAGAAGGAAGTTTAGAGAAGGATTTGCTGTCTTTGGATAATGACAAAACCAGATGCTCTTGCATATTTAGGATTAAAAAAATAATCTAATGAACATCTAGCATTTGGTTATTATAAAATAAAGCCCATGATGAAATTTTATTCCAGTTATATGGTATTAAGGGTCATCTGGTTTTCAAACAAAACCATGGAGAGGAGATGGGAAAAAGTGCTCTTATCTCAAAGCACTGTTTTCTTACATTTCATTTTAGTATTTTGGATTGCAAATACAGAAAATAGAGAAAAATAGAGAAGGAAAATATCACAAGACTTAGAAGATTGGTTGGTTATGTCTCTTTTTGAATGTCTCATTTTTTAATAAGTATGTTTCTAATCTACTGGGCTTTCATTAGCTATTACTACTGAAGGTTTCTAGATTTTAATTCTTTGTCACTTCAACTCATTCTCTAGCTATCTGAATATCTCAAACAGAATGTGAAGAACTTCTTATCATTTGTTTTAATCAAGAATACATTTCTATTCTATGGCAGAACTGATCAGAAATTTAACTGTCTCAGGTGTCTGATCAAAGTCTGACTGGGATGAATCCTGTGGTAACCACTCGTGTGGTATTTGATGGTGGAGTTTTTCTTGGACCCATGTTTGGAGACATGCTGGCCACTGCCAACCAACACACTCAGGTGAGAGTAGATGGGTCCCTGAGGTGCAGGCAGCAGTTCATGAAGTGAAGGTGGAAGGAAAGTGTCTATTTCTTTGGCCTTTAGTCTCAAAGAAAGGGTTTTTTTTTTTTTTTTTTTAACATGAGTGAGTGGTACCCAGTTGAAAATAGATTGATTAGCAGTCTATGCAGCTTGCATTTATGACATTTACTTCTGTATGCAGAAGAAATTTACTAAAGATTTAGCATATTCAGCTGTGGGTGGTGGTATGTACCCATAGTCCCACCTACTCAGGAAGCTGAAGCACAAAGATCTCTTGAGTTTGTGACCAGCTTGGAAATCATAGTGAGACCTCCATCTTTAAAACAAAAATAGCTCAAATGCAGGTGGATATTAACAAGAGAATAGACAGGAGTACTTGGGGGTAGTTAAGGGCTTAAACAAACTATAGACCGATTCGTAGTATTCATCTATTTGCATTTAGTAAGTTGTACGTAATCTGGGTGGTCATGCTTAAGAGGAAAGATGGGGAAAAGGTAAGGAAGCAAACCCAGAAAGAGAGAGGGAGAGAGGAAAGAAAGAGAAAAGAATAGAAAAGAAAAAGAAATGATAATAAAAAATAATAAAATGCAGTAAAATAAAAATTACAATTAAAAAAATAATATAATTAAAAAATAAAAATTAAAAAATTAAAAAAATTAAAAAATTTTAAAAAAGAAAGAAAAAAAGGCACTGTTAGACTTCCATCTGTATATGGGGTAAAAATGGGAGTTCATAACCCACTTGAATCTAAAGTATGAAGTATGATATGTTAAGAGCTTTGTAATGTTTTGAACAGCCAATAAAAAAAATAGCATATGTAACTGTAAACATGAATTTAAGTCTTTCTACCATAAATTTAAGAACACTTAACGTGTTTTGTACCATTCATTATAATTTTAGGTTTTAGGCTTTTTACTGGGAAAATAGAAAAAAGAAATGGGAATAAGTGAATCATTAGCAAATTTTAATTTGGGAAATCTTCATAAGTACTTTACAGCTATTCTCATGTGTATGAAGTGTCCACGTTGTTTTAACTTCTTTTACTTTGTTTCAGGTGGTTGTACGAGTGAATGACATACCAGCTCATTGCCCAGGTTCCTGTTCCTTCCAATATCTCCAAGAGTCAACTCCCAGCGTCCATTCTGTGTGGTATTCCCTTGGTATGATTTGTGACTTGGCACTGAGACAGTCATGGATCTTAGACTCAGTGATTTTATTTAGAGGCCATGTGACTGGTGCTGAGGGATAGAAGGTGCATTAGTTCAGTAAGTAGAGGGTGAATAATGAAGCAGAAGGTCCATCTTGAGGTCCATCTAGGGAATATGATTATTATTTGAGAAGGAAACAATTTTTTTTGATAACTTAAATTTTTTTTTGTCTCTTATTTTGAAATATTCATTTTGATTTTTTTAATTAAGTAGTGGCCTCTCATTACTAGTTTGAGAAAATTTAAGATGGAGTCTGTGTGCTACAATGAAAAATGCAGTTGTCATGGTTGAGTCAGCATTTGACTCTCTGAATTTTAGGAGGGAAAAATGAAAGAGAATAAAAATTTGATGTGAGAGAGTGATATCACTGAGAGATGATTTTTTTTTTTATTTTTAAATTTCTTTCCTCTTTTCAGATGGTGACATCAATCCACTGGTTTATATTACTGGAACTGGTTTCTCTGATGATTCCCAGTCTTTACAGGTTATGGTGAACAAAATGAGTTGCAAAGTTATTTTCTCAAATCAAACGAATGTAGTATGTCTATCAGACTTGCTGCCAGTCGGAGTACATCCAATCTCAGTGTTGGTGAGACCCTCTGGTCTTGCCGTCAATGCCAGTGGAGAAGGCCTCTTCCTATACGTGAGACCCAGGCTTGATGCTGTGGAGCCTTCCAGAGCTGCAGAGATTGGTAATCTGGGCCTTGCAATGCATCTGACTCTCTGAAGCTAGCTTTCTAGTCAGAATACTAAATGTAATCCTACAGTATAGTAAATTCCATATATACCATAATTTACAGCTTTATGTTCCTATACATTTCTGCTAATTAGCAACAGACCCTTAAGCCCTTAAGTGAACTCCTTTGTAACATAGTGTAGGTTGGCTTTGGTGTCAAGCGTAATGAGTTAAGTCACCCAGTCACAGAGTCCATTCGCCTAGTGGGAACAATGTAGGATTGGGAACCAGAACATTCCTGGGATTTTGTACTATCTCAAGTCAGATGTGTGAACTTAGAAACTGCAGTTACTACCAAGGGATTTAGTTTCCTAATAATGATGATGACAGCAACAGTATCATTTATCAGGTGCTGCTTCTGAGAAGTCATACATCTTAAAGGCTATACCTGCCCCCCAAATAGAATGATTGTCCACATTCTTCAGATGAGACAATGCTGGTTCTAAGAGGAAAGTGTTTTGGCCAAGGCTTCACAGGTAAAGAGGCAGAGCCAGTGAGCAAACCAGAGCTCTCCGACATCAAGTCTCTTGTTGCCTTTATGTGCCATACTGTCACGGCCTTACCAATACAACCACTAATGATGCTTCACTTATAGGCTAGCTAGCCTTGTGTCAGAGGAAATGAGTTAACAGTTGGGAAAACCCCTTTAACAGTAAAATCACTCAATAAATGTGAAGTATAGAACTTGTCCACTAGGAGCTTTGTGCATTGCTGATATTTCACAAATGTGTGTTAACTGACGTACACTTGGCTAGTGTACAATGCAAACTCATGTTTGAGTAGTGAGGATCCAGAGGGCAGTAAGTCTTGTTAATATCTGCCCCATGAACTGGGTCTTAGTTCCATGGAAAACGGGAAATTTCTCCACGACTTGCTACTTTCTAGGGGACACTACCAGTTAAAAACAACCCAGTTGGATTGTAAGAATCTCAGGAATACTCATGCTTATGTTTGCTGATGTAAAAATTTTGGCGCATAAAACTCCTTTCCTTAATGCTTTGGATTTTTCTCATTGTTTGTTCTGGTGACCAGAGGCTTGTAGCTTAGAATACATTTTAAAGCAGTGTAATTTGGCCACGAACTCATTGTTCAAAGGAAGAGTTTGTTTCTGACACTACTTGGACCTAGAAGAGTGAATCACAAGGGCCTCCCCACCTCTTCTCTGCACATAAAACAGAGAAAGCTCTTATTTCTTAGTGGTTTTAGGAAGGACCCAGATGACAAGTGGTGCTCAGAGATCATATTCCATATAGACCCAATAATTACTAGCTTGAGTTTAGGGCATATAGGTCTTCCCACTAGATTTATAAGGGATTGTGATTTTATTACAAAGTTAATTTTGCAGTTCAAGTCACGCCAACTCCCTTCATCTCTCCCCACTAGTTTGTAGACACCATATGAGCAATGGGTGGCTCAGTTCCGTACACAGAGTGCCTGCCATCGGGAGGGTGGCTAAATGTCCCAGTTTTCCTGGGATGGAGTAGGTTCTCAGGATGCAAGATTTTGAGTTTTTAACTAGGATGCAGAACTTTGAGTGTTAAATATTGGTCCCAAGGAAATCAGTTGGTCACTGTACCAGGGATGCTGTACCAATGATACATAGTGAAGAGATTTGAAGGTCTGGGGTGGGGGGGTGGGTCATGCATCAAAAGATGAAAAACTCTGAGAAGGGATAAATACCAGTTGGGTGCAAATTTACTTTTATTAAGACTACAGGTAATGGAGGAAGAGAGAGAGGATGCATCCTGGGTCCTGTGTTTAAACTTTCTCTGCCAACCTACGAAGCATTAGCCTATGTTAGTCACGCACACAACACTGTGTCACCCAGTACAGAGTCCTGTACTGTAATGGCAGTACAGTATGTACTGTATTTCAGTACCAATTGGTACGGAAAGGTGGTCCTGGACCAGCAGTATTGGGATCATCTGGGAGCTTGTTAGAAGCATCGAGCCTCAGGCCTGTCGCAGACCTCCTGAACTGAGGTGTATTTTTAAAGGCTCCTCAGACAATCTCTGTGAATAATACAGTTTGAGAAGTGTGCTAGAGGCGCTTTAAAGAACACCACGTGGAGGACTATGAGAAAAGAACAAAAGAAGACCTGAGTATGTAATGAATATATATCATGTCATCCATAATACTCAGAATCACCACTTCCCCATATGCTGAAGTGCCCTCAAAAAGCTTTTTGAGCACAATCTTGGCTGTGCCTTACATACTCCCTTGGTCCCATGTTGTGCTAGGTAGACTGGCCTTCTGCTTATGCAAGTGCCCTTGTGAGGGACCTCAGCTCTCAACCAGGAATGGAAAGTGTCACCTCCTCAATGACTGCCTTCAACAATGATCAGGATGACAAAAATCGACTTAGCTCTAATATGCCAGGCAATATTAATGCCAGGGATATAGCAAATAAAATAAAAAACCCCTCTTTCTGGGAGGGATGGTAGTAAATATATAGGAGAAAAATCAAGAAGGGAATGGGATGAAGAGTGATGGAGGGGTTTGTGTGCTACGATGGTCATTGGCATTGGAGGAATGGCGTCGATAACTCTGGAGAGTGGAGACAGGGATGCAGTGCAGGAATGAGTCCTGAGGAAATCTTGGGGGAGAGAACTTGAAGCAAAAGAAACCTCAAAGGTGCCTTGAGTTAGAATGAGATTGGCTTGTTCCAAGGACAAGGAGGTTGCTAAGTCTGGACTAGATGGAGTGAGGAAAGTCGGGTAGATGACCAGGAGCAGATCATATGCCCCATGGGACTATGACAGGAGGTTAGCTCTTATTCTGCATGAGATAAGGGCCAATGGAGGATTCTAAGTGACAATAAGGCCATACTACAGGAAGGCAAAGATGAGCCTGAAAGCTATTACTATCATCCAAGAAAAGAGGTAATGTTGGCTTTCACTCAGGCCATATACAAGTAGATTTGCTCTAGTTTTTTATTCCAAGTATTCTTTCTTTGAACTTGAAAAATTAAGACATAATTCCCACACAACAAAATTCACCTTTTCTTTTTTTTGGTTTATCACATTTTTATGGGAGCATTGCAGTTGCACGTAATGGTGGGATTTGTTACACATTTGTAATGCATACAATATAACAATATGTTTTGGCCAATATTACTCCAAAATTCACATTTTAAAAGTGTACAATTCAATGGTTTTCAGTATTTTTGGGCTGTTAGGAATAATACTCCTCTGACAACAATTTATGGGGATACACAGTTTCAGTTCTTTTGGGCATATATTTGGGGATGAGATTGCCATATGGTGATTTTGTTTCATTTCTTGAGGACCTACCCAACTCTTTGCAAAATGTCTGCATGAATTCCCATTCCCACTAGGCTACAGATCACCAACACTTGTCATTTTCTGTTTTTGCTTCTGTTTACTTTTTATAGTAGCCATCTTAATGGGTGTGAAGTGGCAGTTCATTGTGGTTTGATCTGCATTTTTCTACTGATGTTTGCATTTCCTGCTGATATTTAGCATCTTTTCAAGTACTGATGGGCCACTGTGTAACTTTGTTGGAGAAATGATTGCTCAAATCCTTTGCCAATACTAAAAGTTGGGTTTTTTTTTATTTTATTGTTGAGTTATAGGTTTTTTTAAAAAATATATATTCTAGATACTAACTTTTATCAGGTGTATGATTTAAAAATATTTTCTTCTATCACGTGGAGTTTTTTTTTTTTTTTTAACTTTTTAAACAGTGTTATTTGAGGCACAAAGTGTTTGTTTCTTTTTTCTTCTTTTTGTGGGGCTGGATTGAACCCAGGGTCTTATTCATGCAAGCAAGTGCTCAACTATTGAGCTACATCCCCAGCCCTAAAAAAGTTTTTAATTTTGGTGAAATCCATTTCATATTTGTTGTTGTTGGTTTTGTTTTTGGCACTACATCTATGATATCATTGCCTAATCCAGTGTTACAAAGGTTTATGCCTGTGTTTTCTTTTTATAGTTCAGCTCTTACATTAGGTTAGATCTTAGACTATTAGCTCTTACACTTGAGTTACTCTTTTTGTACAGCATGATGTATGTTTCCAGTCTTTGGGGTTTTTATCAAATTTTTAGGAAAAAAAGCAGCAGAAATTGAATAATTTTTAGTGTGTTTAAGAGGCATTATATCTTCTTTTGTAATGAACTGTCCATTTCCTTAGCTCATATTTTCTACTTGAATATTGTTCTTTCTTAGTTATTTTATTTTATTTTATTTTTATTATATATATATCACATTTATGAATTGCAATAAATAGAAAATAAGAGAAAATAAAGTATGTAAAATGTGTGTGTGTGTGTATATATATATTATATATATGTATATATATATAATATATATATATATATATACACACCCCTATACATATATTTTGTGGTACTGAGGATTGAACCCAGGGCTCACACATATAAGCGTTCTACCCCTGAGCTAAAGCTTCCGACAATTTAAAAATTAAAAAAATATTATTTTGAGACAGAATCTTGCTATATTGCTCAGGATGGGCTTTATTTTGTGATCTTCCTGCCTCAGCCTTCTGAGTAGCTGGGATTACAGGCATGTACCAATGTACCTGACTAAATAGCTCTAATTTTAATGTAATAAGTTAGATCTTCTTTTTATGGCATAGGAGTTTATAAAATACTTAAGATGAGCTTTCAATCTCTGAAGTTATATGAAAATTAAAATTCTATTTCTTCCTAGGTTTTTTTTGGCGCTTTCTCTTATGTGTTTGAATATTTGATGAATTTGGAATATATTTTTGTGAAGGATGTGAGTGAGGTACCAATTCAGATTTAATTTTTTCAGTGTTAACCATTTTTTAAAATTTACGGAATAAATAGTCCGTATGTTTCACACTTATGTGAAATGTCATATTTTTTGTATCCTATAGCCACATATTTATCTGAGTTTCTTCCTGGACTCCCATTTTATTCCATTCCATGGAGCTGTCTAAGCATGCTCTGTTATTAGCTTTTGATAATATATTTTTTTCAAGATATTTTAATGCCTAGAAGAAGATATCTTTATTCTTACTTTTGAAATTTGCTCTCAACCTATTTTTATTTTTCATTGACATTTTGAAGTAGATTTTCTAATTTAAATGAAAATTCTAAAAGAACTTTTACTGGAATTGCATGGGTGTATTTTGTTTGGAGAGATTGTATATTCACTCTCTCTATTAATTTATTTTGGTTTTCTTAACTAAGTTTTAATCTACCCATTAAATTTTTTTTCAGTAGCATTATAAAGTTTCTTTATATTTTTCATCCTCATTTGTTTTTCTCATCAAGTTTATTTCCACATATTGTCTCTTTTATGTTGCTCTTGTAGATTGCCTTTTCCTTCTATTTTATTCTCATTTAAAAGTGTATTGTGGTCTTGCTCTGATTCTTCAGGACAAGCTACATCTTTAACTTCAGGATATTATTCCACCCAGTCACCTTGTTGCCAAGGGTTTTCTTCAGGTTGTGTGAGTTCCCTTTCTCTCTCTGACATGCTTCTGACCCCTGCCCTCCTCCTCACTCTCAAGGAGTACACATGTCTATTTGGTGGCCTTCAATACCCTCTTGAATCACCTTCTAGGTAGAAGTCAGAACTGAATCGTTTCTATTTTGAATAATAAGTGGGTTTTCTATTCATCAGCTGGACCAAGGGCTGCTTCTCCAAATAAGACCCTGTATCACGATATCAGTAGGACTGGCATCATCTCTCTTCTTACCAACCTCTGCCGTGAGGAGAGGGGAGTGTCTGTGGCTGCTTTTCAGTGGCTGGCAGAGAACTCCTGATGGCAGTGGGTGATAGCACCAGTCATTTCTATACCATCATGGTGACTAGAACCTAGTACATGTGGTATTAAATCAAAATCAGTAGAGCTAATGCCATCATTTAAAAATGAGGAAAGTGAGAGCCAGTGAGCTGAGGGACAATACTACAAATGACCTGCTTTAAGTGGCAGAATATTCTGTGATCTTGACTCTGAGCCTACTGCTCTCTTGACCATGATGCTCTCTTATACTTGGTTTCTCAGGAAAACAATAAGTTTTACAGGATTGACAGGAATGGTATTTTGATGATATTTTCGAATCTAGGACAGAAAGACTTTTCAGAGACTGTGTACTCCTCTGACTTGTGGCAATAGTGCATCCTTATGTTTTATTCTTGAAGATCTTCAGGATGCATTGCTACTACTTTATGCCCTCTGGCCAATACTTCTGTGTGTATTGTAATTTGTATATTTCAACTCAGTCTTTTTCTGTAGTTTGAGCATGGCCTTGTATTTTGACTAAAGAATTTCATAATTTAATTTCACTTTCTTTCTCTTCTGATAATTAATTTTTGTCTGCCTATATGCCTGTGAATCCTGTATGAAAATGCTGGTTTTGTTACAGGAGGGCTCTGGGCCACCATCCAAGGCTCTAGTTTGGAAGGTGTTAGCCTGGTGTTATTTGGATCTAAGTCCTGTGACATCAACATCACCACAAGTAATTCTCAAAGAATTCAGTGCAAAGTTCCACCCAGGGTAAGTGGAATCTTCTTTTTGGCATTTCCTTTTCTTTGGGTGAACAACCATTATTTACAGAAGGTTTTCAGCTAAAACTGCTTACAATTAAATTAACTAAAAATAACTTCTCATCATAAGAGTTTGCTTATGTTATTTATATTGTCTATTTTGCTATGAAGGGGGAAAATTGATCCCACTGATAGTGTTTCTATTTAACATCTGTTAATTCTTTTAATAATAAGAGAATACAGACAGTTCTATTCTACATGTTCAGTGAATATTAGTGCCACAGAATAAATATATTTTTATGGGGTGCACATTGTGGTAGTAGTTTGCAAAATTTAAATATCCTATAACTTCTTTTCTTTCTTAAGCAAATGACAAAGAACTCAGTGTTCACCAGCAATTTTGTTTTTTGCATGGATGTGAATCCTGGAACTCAGTCTTGTAGAATACCTGATTCCTATGAAGTATCTTTCTAGTAGACTCCTCCATCTTTCTTTTCCATTGAAAACAAGTCCCTGAGATCTGGTTTTCATTTTGGTAGTGCTCTGTCATGACCCATTAAGGGAGTTGGGGGTCTTTCCTGGTACAGTTGGTGAGTCACTCACAGCTGCAGTTGGATTTCTGTTTAGGGTTGATGGTGGGGTCAACACACCTAGCACACCCATGATCCCCAATGGTGTCTGTCTACTGAACAAAGATCTGTAGGAAGTAGGATTAAGAATATCCTTTTATCCCTGGTTCTGAAATGTTATCTTATCTAGTTCCTTGAATATTATGAAAAGTTGGCTTTTATATGTAAACTACATGCAAATTCCAGTACACTGTATTTTAATTTGTTTAACTCTTTCTTATTGTTGGGCATGTAGAAAATTTCTAGATTTTTCTCTATTATAAATAGTGAAATTTTGATCATATTAAAAAACTATAATTTTTTAGCACACTTCCCCGCCCCCCCAGATAAAGTAATCTAAATTCTAAAGCTTTTGGTATCTAGTATTCCATTACTTAAAATTCCTTTTAAGTTTATATTCCCACCATCACTGTGCAAGCTTCTGATTTGGGGCATTTTGGACAACCCTGGGAATTATCTCATTAATATATTTTTAATATATATTTACCATTTGAATGAGTAGAATTTGTACTGTATGGATTTCCTTTATAAGCGTGGATACATATTAAAAAGCAAACTTCTGAGTTTGATCAAAGTCATATATACAAAGGCTCAAAGGAAAATAAGCCAGCATGTTCTCCTACCTGCTTTTCTTCTTTCTTCTAGTCCTCATTTTTGAAACAATAAATTATTTTGAATTCTAGCAACTTAATTTGTTTAATCAATATAGCATGTATACATTATAATTATTTAAATGATGCTGACAGAACCATAGAATTTTTTTTTTTTGTATTTTGATGTTTTTTCCTAGAGTTCCTTTTTTTTCTTACCATAGAAATCTACTTTCTCTTTTTAAAAATCTATCATACCAGTTACTTTTTTTCTTTGAAGCTTTCTTGTTTTCCTGTGTCAATTTGGGTTGGTTATTTTCTAGGTTATTCTATAGAGTTCACTCCAGTACTTTGGTTGATCACTTTTCTGGTTAGGTTTACTGTTTCTTTGAGTTTATATCTCTTCTTCTTCTTCTTTTTTCTTTTTTTGGTTATATTTATCTGTGAGATCATAAATTTAAAAAAATATGCTACAAAAGAAAATTCAGAAAGAATGAGTAATAAATAGTGTCTGAAAGCACTTGGATGCTTGATTGATAGTTTAGCTAGGTATAAATATTTATTTGAAATTGCTTTTTTTTAAAAAAAAAACATTTGGTGTGTTAGTTGCCAATCATTCTTGTTTACCTTTGAGAGTAGATCCTTCTGCATATCTTTTGCACATAAATTGCCTAATCTCTCTCTTGCTTTGAGAAAGAGAGAGAGAGAGAGAGAGAGAGAGTTAAAAGTCACAAATATACCTCTTATTGACAACTTTATTAACATTTAAAATAGAACCTTTTAAAATAGAAATCCATATGGATTTCTTTTTTTCTCAAATCAAACTGAGATTGGATTTTAAAAACCTATTTTTCAGGGGAAAGATGAATACAGTGTGAATGTGACTGTTATCAGAGGGAATCATTCTGCAGTTCTTCCCAGAGCATTTACATATGTCTCCTCTTTAAATCCAATGATTGTGTCTCTGAGCAGAAATCGAAGCAACATAGCAGGTAAAATACATGACATCACAAGATATTTATATTTTTAGAGAACCTACTTATAAAAAAGAAAAGCAATGGTTTATGAATTCTGTTGTATTTTAGATGAAAGCTCCTTTTTTTCTGAAAGCCAGAAAACTATTTTCTTCATGTTAACTGTCATTGAATTAATATTTTTACACTTTTTTCTTTAAAATTGACAATATTTCTATTCTGAAAATTATGTGAGAATTTGAAGGCACTAATTCAATAAGTATTTATTGAGTACTTAGTATGTGCTAATAATAGCATAAACATGTATTAGAACTTTATTTAATACTTACCACTAATTTGTATTAATTTTTACCACTTATTTATTCTCTAGTCTAAGAGAATAAGTGACTTGTATATTCCTTTTGTAAGGAACAAAGCTGAGATTTGAACCATAGTCATTTTTGGCAATAAGTCCTATGGTGGTAATAATTTAACACAATTTGAGAATAAGGTGTCTAGATTAACTAAGAATTCTTGTTCTTTGAGACACTATGTATGTAAAGAATGCATTTTTTTTTTAGTACTAACTGCATGAAACATTTTAACCTTTGATAATTCAAATGACATGACAGGTTGGAATTATAAGAATATCTTGTCATGACATAACAATATAGATTCAGAAAAGCAGCAGGTAAGATCCCTTTCTGGTTTACTGAATGTCAGATAACAGATAGTTTATGGCAGCCATGTCTAAGGGTTTATTATAAAAATACCATAATATTTTCCAATGAAAAAGCTTGAATTCAGTTTTTCTGGTACTATTTTCATTTTCCATAACTCAAGAGTATATAAATAAAGAGAAGTGTCCTTTAACTTCTTAATATTATTCAGCTCAGATAGTGCAGAAGAAGAATTTGCTGCCTCAGGCAACCAAAGTGTGTAAAATTCCCCAGTGGTATAGATACTTCCCAAGAAAGTAGAAAAACAGGGAGGAAGCTCCATGTTATATTCAGATTTCAGTGACTTAGGCTCTTGATAGACTTTCCTACCCCTAATGAAAAGAGTAAATACATTTCATTAGTGCTTCAAAGACATTCAGGATTAGCTTGACAACTGACCACGTGATATGTGATGCAGTGCCTTCTTTTCAGAATTCACACTTGTATTTAAGTCTTCCTACAGGCATAATAGAGAAGAACATGTTACAAAATCCACAAAGTGTAGTAGCCTATTAGGAAAATCTCTTTTCATTTGGGGAACCGCCTATCTCCATTCAGGAAATGATGCTAATGATAACAATGAAGCCAAGATGAAATGGAAGAATGACGGAAGAAGGGAGAGAAAACAGGGAGAAAGAATTTGAGGTGCAGAATGATTAGTGTGGTTATTGAAGTCAGAAACAACTTTATCTGAGTGAACACCAGCTCAACCACTTGTTAAAGAAATACTTTTGACAAGTGAATGAAGAATGATTTACAAATTTGGCAGTCCTCAGAACCAGAAGTGCACAGCGTTCCTCTCTGCAGTGTGGGCAGGCAGTACATATAGACAAAAAATGGAAGTGAGATAAAAAGCAGCTTGGTTTGCTATAGCTCCCCCTTTGCCATATTTGACCATGGTCACGTCATTTGATGGCCTATGATTGGCTGAACTTCAGCTGCTGTGATTGACTGAGAATTAGCTAGTTATTAGAAAGGATATACTCAAAATAATTAGGCTTTCAGTTTGTTTACTATTTTGTTAGATGGAAGTTTGTCACACAGGGATTGAAAGCATGGAGGCAGACTCAGGTCAAATAGAGTTTGATTTAATACACAGCCTCAGACATTAAAGAAGAGGTTGGGAAGACATGAAGAAGTTAAGAGGATGTGCATGTGAGGAACAATATGAAGTCAATTGACATATTTTGGGTGTGTGTTCTGCACTCTATTTGCTTCCCCAGGATATCTAAGTTAATTCTTACAACAAACAACTTGGGATGGACTTTATTACCATCTGGTTGATGAAAACTCCAAGTTGTTGAGGGTCCAGAGTGAGTCCTCCAAAGCCAAAGAGGTAGTTAAATGACAGATGAAGGATTTGAATGCAGAGTCACAGTCTTCCCATTACATCATATCCCTCTTTTTTGACTTTTTCAAGAAACCTTTTTGTCTAGTTTAGCATGGATTCTATAGATGCTGACTGTGCAGTGGTTCTTCAACGTTAAAGTCTAAAGGAGCTGCAGAGGTGATTTACCTCCAGCTGTGGGCACATTGAAACACAGGAAAGGCAGATACACTTACTTCCACCTGCTATTGTATGCTTGATTTCTGGATTTCACAAAGACTCTAGTTATCTGAAGACTGCATTTCTCTTTCCCTATAATTCTTTTTATCTTACAGACTGGAAGAATACCTTCAATATATTCCTCCTTTGATTATAAATATTTGGAGGTGTTCTCAATACATTGAATTTAGTAGATATTTTTCAGGATTAGCTTTTCTATATTCACCCATAGAAGCTCATAAACTTGACCTACCTCCATAGAGTCCCTACTGATATCCACATGTGTCTTATAACCCAGAAAGTCACCCAATTCTATTTTTTTTTTTGCCCAAACCAGTGGGTGACTAAGAGAAAATGCAACAGAAGACTAAATAAAATTGTGAAATTTGAAAAATTGAATTTTAAGTCCCCTATGATTTATCATTATATCTTGGGATATATCTTTCAAATTGAACTTCAAGTGGCCTCTCGTCCTACCATAAGGCCTTTCCTGACTTCAGAATGTTGTTCTGATTTGAACAATCTCACACCTAATTATGACCTTTATTGTAGCATATCTTCTATAGATGTGATTCTGCCACATATTTTATCATTTTTGAGGTCTTCTTTGAGGGCATATCTGTATTTAACTATTTTTGTGCACCTTGTGGCATGTTTCTATAGGGCTTAATATGTATTTGAGTTATAAGGAATTGAATTAAAGTATTCATAATATACCCAACATTTTATTAAGTTAAATTAATTAATTAATTTTATTTGTTCTTTTTAGATATACACTACATTAGGGTGTATTCTGACATATTATATATACATGGAGTAAAACTTATTCTAATTAGGATCCCATTCTTGTGGTTGTACATGATGTGGAGTTTCACTGGTTGTGTATTCATATATGAACATAGGAAAATAATATCTGATTCATTGTACTGTCTTTAATATCCAGCATTTTAGTAAAGATTCTAATTATACTAAAAAGCTATGGAAATTCAATATGAAGTCTGGGCCCCAGCCTTGATGTTCCCATTTATTGTTATGAGGTTTTTGTTGCTGACCCTGTTTCTTCAAATGCCAAATGTCAGTCATGCTAACTGTCCCATATGTGTCATTAGGATAGTTAGATGATCAAATGGAATTATGTGCATGAAAGTACTGTAAACTATGAGCTGTTACACTCACATACAGCATTATGTTAAGGTTCATTGCACACAGGAGCTAGAACTTTATATTTCTGTTGGTGGAAAAAAAATTTAGAGAAAGGACAACAGGAATTTGCTAGTGGTGAAGACCATTAGCTCTTCAAACTTATTCTTGAATTGTCTTTACATGGATTAAATTCATGCTTTTTGAGTATAATTGCTCTGACAGTGTTGCTCTTCACAATTTTGAAGTTTTAGGCTGTAGCTCAATTAAAAGATTTATTAGAAATTTCATTTAAAAAGTTACGTTAAAATTCTTAATTACATTATTATGTTGAGGGCTGACCATGTATTTAATCCTGAAAGTGTTTTGGCATAGTATAGGAGGTTGAGGTCATAAACCCTCATCAGAGAATATTTTAGTAGGCTTTTTTACTGCTGTGACTAAAAATATCTGACCAGAACAAATTTAGAGAAGAAAAGTTTATTTAAGGGCTCACAGTTTCAGAGGTCTTAGTCCACAGAAGGCAGACTCCATTCCCTGGGGTTCGAGGTGAGGCAGAACATCATAGCAGAAAGAGTGTGGCAGAGGGAAGCAGCTCATGGTGACCAGAAAGCAGAGACAAAGGTCTCTACTTGCCAGATACAAATATATACCCCCAAAGCCATGCTCCATTTCTCACCTCCTCCAGGCATACCATACCACTTCAATTGCCACTCAGTTAATCCCTACCAGGGGGATCAATTCACTGATGGGGTTAAGACTTCTATAACCCAATCATTTCTCCTTTGAACCTTCTTGCATTGTCTCACATGTGAGCTTCTGGAGACACCTCATATTCAAACCATAACAGAGAGGTGAACAGATTCTTCTCAACCCAGGAGGGGAGACCCTTTCCATTGGAATGACCCGGCTGCTGAACTATTCAGATTTGGATGTGGAAATACACATCCAGGACACCTTGGCTCAGGTACATGCACAGACGGCACAGGGCCTGGAGGTGGTGCTGCCCCCGCTGCCAGCCGGCCTCCACAGAATTTCAGTCTCCATCAATGGGGTCATCATTCGCTCACAAGGGTAAGGTGGAACATTCCAGAACTGGGTTGGGATGGGAGGGGGTGGGTATCTGTAACCAAAGAAGGGAAGTCTGTGCTGTAGCTCTTTAGTAAGATTTCCTCTTGGGTTTTAAATACATGGCCTATAGTAATTGCATGGCCATGTCCTTCCCTTAGCTCCCTCTTTGTCCTGAAGTTGCTCCGCCTGGTATTTCTCTAGAAATTCCCTCTCCCATTTCTGAAAAGTAGCTGAAGTGTATGGGACTGATGTTACCACTGATACTGACCCAGCATCTTTCCACGGCATCTTTCCCCCACCATGTCCTCTCTTTTCTGTTCCAGTTATCATTCACTCTTGCTCTCCATTGCTGCTCCATTTCTTTTCTCCCTCCCCTCCAAATACAAACACCTCTTCTGCCTTCCATCTTTATTTTCTCTCTCTCTAGCCCTGTTGGTTATTTCCTAACAATATCCCTGTCTTCTGTAGGGTTGATCTGCACATCCAGTATCTCACAGAAGTTTTCGGCATGGAGCCTTGCTGTGGGTCCCTTTTCGGTGAGTGGTTCTGACATCATTGGTGTCATTTACCTGGTTTGCCTATTTACTGAATACCCAGATTTTACTCCTGGATTAATTAGCTTGTCACCCTGAGATGGGACGTCAGGAAGAGACTTTCCTGAGGCTCTGGTATAATTTAAGGGTGGGAAAACTTGGTGATGCTTCAGCTCAGTGAGCTCATGAAGTTAAAGAGTTTTCATGAAAAGGAGATATGCCTGGCTTTCTTTTCCTAGAGGAAAGGCTGAAATAGCGGATGGGCAGTACTCTTGAGCAGATATTAGGAAAACAAAAGAAGAGCTTCCTGTCTTAACATTTTAGACCCTGCGTGTTCAAGGACCCAAGGAATGAGTCGTTGTATCTGTACTTTCTTCCAGGGATGCAGATGGAGGAACAAAAATAGAGCCACATATATCAATGTGGGAAATGTAAGGACAAGAAACAGAGTGATTCCTAAAACTATGCATTTTAAGAGAAAAACTAAAGAGCTATATATTCACATGTGAATAATGGTTTTAACCTTGCATGAAGTAGCACCTTATCTTTTTGAGCACAGGAAAATCCTTTTTAAATCTGGTTGCCTATGTCACAGATTTGGTTAGGATATGGGTTTTGTTGCTCCAATCTCTGTTCTGAAGGTGGGATTTGGTCTTTGATTATCTCTCAATTTAAGAGTAAGACAGTGTCTGTGTTTGTCACCACTGTGACTAAAATAACTAATAAGAAAAACTTAGAGAAGAGGAAGGCTTTTTGGTTCTTTTTTTTTTTTTTTTTTTGGCTAATGGTTTTGGAGGTCTCAGTCCATGGTCAGCTGACTCTATTGCTCTGGGCCTGAAGTGAGGCAGAACATCATGGTGGAAGGATGTAGTGGAGGAAAACTGCTCAGCTATAGCAGCTAGGGAGCAGAGAAAGAGATTGAGGCACCAGGAACAAAATATAAACCCCAAAGGCACTCTCCCAGTGAACTACTTCCTGTAGTCACTCCCCACCTGTCAACAGTCACCATCCAGTATAGTAGTTTTCTCAGATTATTAATTCATGAAATGGATTAATCCACTGACTAGGCTACAGCTCTCATAATCTCACTTTACCTCTGAACATTACTTCATTACCTAACACAAGCTTTTAGGGGGGCACCTCGTATCCAACCCTTAACAATGTCTGTTTATATAACAGCAAATTCATTAGTATGTTTCACTGGATTTTGATATCTGATATATATGTAATACAGAATATATACAACATATTAGAATATATAATACTATGTATATGAATTCTTGGAATAATATGTAGAATAATATAGATGATAAATAGAAGACTTCAACAAACTTTATTTCTCTAGTATGGAAGTTGAGTGCATATAGATTATATAGAATAATATGTCATATAATACAACAGATGACAAGAAAACTAAATTTGATTTTTTGTTAGCATGTAAGTGGTAGTTTGTAGGATATACAAAGGTACTTGAAGCGTTTTATCTGAAATATTATAAATATCCTTCACATATATATAATTTATATTATTTTACTGTTACATGAATTTTAGTGCATCTGACTCATGTAGAAATGATCACAAATTTAGCATTGCTGGGGATTGAGGTGAAATCACCTATGTTTCACATACCCCACTTTCCACTGAATTGCCTCAGAGCTGACACAGGGGCTCCAAGTTCCTAGTGAAAATCAGCTTTAACTTTTGTTTTCCATCTCTGCACTTCAGGTGGAACCATCCTCAGCATCTCAGGAAGAGGGTTTGGCAGGGACCCAGCTTTGGTTTGGGTACTTGTGGGCGATCAGCCCTGTGACATGGTGAACTTGACAGAGGTGAGCATCTGGTGTGAGACCCCACCGGCCCCGCTGCTGCCCGATGCAGAGGCTCTCACCATCCCAGCCCCCGTGGAGGTCTGGGCTGGCAACACAGCCTTCATCCATGGACCTTCAGCAAGCTTGGTGGGGAAGGGCCTTACCTTCAGGTATGAAGTGGCAGCAACACCAGTGGTCACCGCCTTGTGGGGAGAAGTCACAAACAGTAGCCTGAAGTTGTATGTGGAAGGAAGTGACCTCTCTAACTCTGTCATCCTCCTGGGGAGCTTGAAGTGTGAGGTTGAGACACAGTCTCTTTGGGGCAACCTGAGCCTGTCTGGGTGCTCCTTTCCCCTGCACACTCTGGAAGCAGGTGTCTACCCTGTCCGAGCATGTCAGAAGCACATGGGATTTGCCAACATGTCTGCAGTGCCCCAGCAATTTGTGGTGACACCTCGGATAATGACCATCTTGCCAATGCATGGTTCTGTGTGTGGCGGGACTGTGCTCACTATCAGGGGCTTGGCTCTCAACTCTAGAAGGAGGTCGATTCAGATTGACCTTTCAGGTCCTTTTACTTGTATGATTTTGCATTTGGAAGACCGTATAGTTCTCTGTCGGATCAACCAGATGGGTGACCACTTGCCTGGAGCTTCCTTCACTCTGAATGTCACAGTCGTGGTCAATGGGCTGCCCAGCGAGTGTGAAGGGAACTGCACTCTCTTCATGCAAGAGGACGAAAGTCCTGTAGTGGATGCCTTGACCATAGACATCAGTGGGTCTCTGACCACTCTGCTGATAAGGGGTCAGCGGCTGGACTCCAGAACTGATGAGCCAATGGTATTTATAGATGATCAACTTCCTTGCAATATAACTTTCTTTAATGCAAGCCAGGTGGCATGCCAAATAAGTGGTTTGACCCCAGGAGTCCACTACCTATCAGCTGTCCAGACAAGTAATGGGTATGCTTGTTTGGGTAACATTTCCAGGAATTTCTCCATCATGCCTCAAGTCTTTAATTATTTCCCTAAGAATTTCAGCACACATGGTGGAAGCCTCTTGGCCATAGTGGGCACAACCCTGAGAGGACAGAACACCACATTGATCTTTGTTGGCCAACAGGCCTGTCTGATAGTGAACATCAGTTCTGAGCTCATCCAGTGCATTGTTCCTGCAGGGAATGACTCTATTGCTCTGGAAATAGAGGTAGATGGAATTGGGTACCACATCGGAGTTGTTGGTTACAGTGATGTCTTCACCCCAGAATTGCTCTCTGTTTCTCAGAGTGATGGCATTTTAACCTTTGCAGTGGCCCGCATCTCAGGAGCTGCCAATGTTGACATATTTATTGGGAGGACACCTTGTGTGGGTGTGTCTGGTAACTACACGGTTCTCCAGTGCATCACCCCTTTTCTTCCTGCGGGGAAGTACCACGTCAGGGGTTATGACCGCATCAGAGGGTGGGCCTCCTCTGCTCTTGTGTTCCTGTTGAAGGCTACAATTACAGCAGTGACAGAGAACTTTGGTAAGTCAAGCAAGTAATATTTAATGGCTTAATAGCTTCTCTCACTTCTAAGAGTTGGAAAATCAACATCACTCCATGCAACAGAAGAGAAGAGAAGCCTGGTGACTTCTTGGAGTCTCAGTGTCTTCCTGTGACTCGTCTTTGTCATGCTCCATTTATGAACTTTATTTTTCATCAAGGAAACTGTGCCTATTCTCTAAGTATTTTATTTTAATGCATTAACCATTTTTAATTTGTGTTTTAAATTAATATCTTTTGTAAGAGCTCATAATTTCATCATTTAAGAATATAAATGCTTTCACCTAGTTTTAGACCTATATGCCAATTTGCATCGTTTAAAATTTATTAACTGTGATTAATTTTGATCATTTTATAAAACTTCACAGATGAATTCAAATGCCACCAATAATAAGCCAATAGCATAGGACAATTGTATCGGTTTAGCTTTTCTCTGCTTTTATTGTTTTGTTTTGTTGTAGTGCTGGGGATCAAAGCTAGGGCCTCCCACATGTGAGGCAAATGCTTTACCTCTGAGCCACACCCCTAGATCTTCTGCTTTGCCTGTACTGAGATTTGCCATTCTTTTCCTTCCGATGATGTTTTAGGTTTCTGCTCACTGAAAGCCTTGCTACACTTAAGGTCACTCAGATTTGATGGTGGGTATACAGGAAATTATGGATGCAGGATCTTAGGTTGATGAGGTACTAATCAAGCCATTTTTAGAACAAATTTGTCTTCAACTGGGTGGAACACTGTGGAGATTAGAATTTAGGACTGGTGCTGTGACCAACGTAGCTAATTTAGGTTTGACTTTTCCATGCCTCAGCTTCCAGTTTTAAATTTTGTAGCATTGGGGATTGAACCAAGGGGTATTCTATCCCTGAGCTTCCTCCCCAGACCTTTCTTAATTTTTTTTGTTTCAAGACAGGGTTTTGCTAAATTGCCAAGGCTGGGCTCAAACTCCCAATCCTCCTGCCTCAGCCTCCAGAATTGCTGGGATTACAGGTGTCTGCCACCACATCCAGATCAGCTTTCTTATTTAATAATGGTATTTGGGCTGGATGCTCACAAAATTTCCCTATCTATTCCCTAAATTCCATGAAGAAAGAGCATCATAAATACACCTGAAGCAAAAACAAAACAAAACAAAAACAAACAAACAAAACCCCACATTATTCTTGAGTTTGTCAGTTGGCTGTGCAAGTAGCCCCATTCCCCTTGCAGGATGAAGGCTGGAGACTGTGTCTCAGAATGAACTAGAGTGGTGCACCAGCTTCACTATCCTGAGTGTCCCTAAAATATGTAATTCTTGCAGTACTATTAATAATAGCAAAAAGAGAAATAATGAAGGTATCAGGCCATAGAAAATTTGTTAAACAAATTGTGCCTTAATGATGTAATGAGATTCTAAGTAGCTAGTAAAATGAACTGTAATGACATAGCTTTGGAAACCTACCTATACTGTATGTTTAAGTTAAGAAACAAGTTGTAGAATATGTATAGAGTGATCCCTGTGTATCAAAAATATATGTTTGTTGAAAATTCTGTAAGGAGTCACAAAAAACTGTAAATAGAAACAGGTGTTTGGGGGGAACTTTCACTTTCATTTTATGCTCTTGTATGAAAAGTTTAAGAACTATAAATAATCATTATTTTTCGACATAAAATGGTTACATTACAAGATGCTTTATGTTGTTGAATATGGTTGGAATCTAATGGAACCCTGGAGTCCAGAAGCCGGGTGAAGAAGCTAAGGATATCAGAGTCCTCCAGCCAGCTGTGTGGATTCTGCAGGGCATAGGAAGGATAGGCAGAAAGAAAGCAATAGTTTGAGTTTTGAGTTAAGATAGTTTTTCTTCTAAGATCATGAACTTGTGGTTTGTCTTTAAAGGCTGCCTGGGTGGAAGGCTTGTACATGTGTTTGGAGCAGGGTTTTCTCCAGGGAATATCTCAGCTGCCGTGTGTGGTGCTCCTTGCCAAGTCCTGGCTAATGCTACTGTGTCTGCATTCAGCTGCTTGGTTCTGCCCCTGGATGGTGAGTAAAAAAATCCCACATATATATTTTTAAAGAATGTGTTTTAAAATGATGTTCTTTGGCTTTTTAAAATATTTGTCATTGCTTCTCTACTAACCATTAATTTTTCCATGTGTTTCTGAAAATAGAATTTTTCTATTCTCTTTTCAAAAATGATTGTTACACTCCGGGGCCACGTATTAAAATGGTCCATAATACCTTTTGTCATGGGAAGGGGTCAATATTAAAGGAACTTGAAAAACGTATCGCCTATGTCCTATGGAGTCACGTGACAAGGAAGAGAGTAATTCTGGGTTCTGAATATTAGTTCCAGTGACAGCCGTAGACATCAGGAAGGAAACAAGCTCTTGATCTTGTCCTGAGGTAAGGTTGCCGAAGACATCTGCTTTCTGGAGGGACCAGGAGAGGGTGAAGATTATCAAGCTGAATATCTTTTGAATATCAGCTCAATTCCCGAATTCTTATTATAGTCAAAAGAACCAACATTCACAGTATTCTCTTGTTCTTCAACGTCCAAGTACTTACCTGATCTCTTACTCAGCAGAAAACCATGATTTCTCTCTGTTTTGAGCTGCATTCCCATCATGTAAATTGTGGTACCAGAAGCACCGTGTTTATGGGGAGAGATTATAGAGGAAGGTGCAAAGCTGAGGGCTTCACAACACATGGTAACTACCCACTGAGCTTCAGGAGGGGATAATCAGAGGAAAGAAACTACCATTTTCATTACAGATCCTTAGTGCATTTGAGAGAACTCAAATTCAACTAGCAATTATCTCATTTACATAATCATAGATCTGGAACCTCTACACTTAAGACCTATTTATAAACATGCTTTGTGTGTAGTGTTTGGAGTTAGGTTCCTAATTTTTTGAATGTGAGATTTACAAAGTAATAAGATCACTTCATCTGAGTTTGGATAATAATTACATGATGGACAATACTATTGCAATGGCAGTTCACAGTGTCCTCCTAAATGATGAGGAAGAGGAAGAAGAGAGGAGGAGAAGAAGATAGTGGTGGTGGTGGTGGAGGGAGAAGGAGTGTTAAGGAGAATGAGAATACAAAAAAACCTTTAAAATACTAGAATCTGAGTTTCCTAGTGTCATGTACACAATGGAAGAGAAATCATTGCACAATAAGAAACCTACGATGCAATAGCAACTTTCAGATGTCATCTTTTATGTTCTTTTGTTTTTTGTTTTTTAACCCTTCTACCTCCTATAGCACAGTGTCAGTCAAGAGTATGTGGAAATGAAACTGAGACTATACACAACTAGGTTCTAAAGCTTACTTAATATTACTTCTCTTTAAAAAAATCTATCTCATATGCATTGCTTAAACTAATAAACTTTAAAACCCCTTTGGTATTATTTCAAAACACTTAAATCTCAACTAGAAACACAAAATAAAAATCAATGAGATTTCAGGTACAGGTAAATTGTAGTACTGAGAACTCCTAGAGGAAAAATAATAAAATTATTATATTGTAAAAGATTCTTTTAAGTTTTAGAAAAGAACATCTCAAAATTCCTTGATATTTAAGTGTTTGGAAGCTGTAACTTTTAACCTTGCCACTAGGTGTCACCAAAGATTCATCTATTTTACAAGGATCATGTTTGGTGAAAAGGATCTCAACTGTTTTCCTCTTTCATTAGGAAGGAAGGAAGGAAAGAAGGGAGGGAGGAAGAAAGGAAGGGAGGAAGAAAGAGAGGGAGGGTGTTTTTAAATACTTTTAATCACATTCTCTAAAAATGAGGAGCCAGTTCCAAATTTTCCTTACTTAAGATCCAGGATAAGATATGGGGGATTCTGTGATTCTACTGGAACCCAGTGAAACCTTTTGAGTCTAGGATCATAGTTTGGTTTGTTTTTCTAGTTAGTAGGTCTATAATGGACATCAAAAGTTAAAGGTGTGAGTGTGTGTGTGTGTGTGTGTGTGTGTGTGTATGTGTATGTGATGTGAGAGAGAAATCATTGGAAGCTACTACTAATTCTCCTGCTTTAAGATAGGATTACATATAACTGTTAACTTCTCTTTAGGATTACATTTTATTTCAAAGAGGTTTTTAGAAGTGGCTTCCCACCAGCTATCCTCACACCTGTTTCACTCTTGCTTTTCTTGGAGAAATCCATCATTCTACCTAACTAGTGCTCCCCCACTTAGCTTCTTCTCAACCTCAACCAGCTGATAGCCTTTGGAAAGCTCAGGTCACAACGGCAGCAGTTCTCAAAGTGTGTTCCATATGGCCAGCACAGCAGCAACTAGTTTTGTGTGTGTGTGGTGGGGTGGAGGCATCTTAGAAATATGAATTCTTGGGACTCACCAAGGCCAAAATTTTCCAAATAAACATTTTAGTATTTCTTTTCTGTTCTGTCTCTGAAATTTCACATGCTTGCCTAATTGAATCCCCAGACAAGGTAACTCTTCTGAGTAAGCAAGGTATAGTCATATTGGGTAACATCATGAAATGCCTGCATATCATCTGGTCCCAGATCTGTTTGTAAAAGTACACTGATGTTTTGCTGGTTTATAATTTTTGTTACCTATGATTATCCCAATGTGTGTGTGTGTGTGTGGGGGGGGGGTGGGTGTGTTTCTAACATAGCTGTTCACAGCTGGATTTTCCTCATATTTATATGATTTATTTTTTTTTCCTTCTGTAGTTTATTGCCTTACTGTTTTCATTGGGCTTTTTGTTTGTTTCTGTTAACTTCTCTAATTTACCAAGGCCACTTTGAATTCTGACTCTTGCTTTGAATTTTAATCTTTAGTTTGACTTTGCATGATAGAGTGATGTTTTACATTCCAGGTTATTGATGATGTCTCAGAATCCAAACTTTCTTAGTTATTATTTTGTTTGTTCCTATGCCACAGTCCTAATGTGCTTCATTTTCATGACTGGGACAGGAGATTTAAGCATGGGTCTAAAAATAAAGTTATTTTGCTAGTTTCGTGGTCATCTATCTTTACCTTTCCCTCCAAATTATACTTCTTACCAAAGAAGAATTTTACTTTTTCACATGATGGGTTGCTAAAACATCCTGTTAGGTAAAACTAACACTTTGCATTTGTTTAAAAAGAGCAAAGATCTTTGATCTTCCCGTTTCTTGCATTTATACCTTGAATTATACCAAATGACTTTTTCATGGAAACTTTAACTTTTCCAAGAGGCATGAAAAGCTAAAGCGATTAAGGTCACAGAGCTATTTAGCGGTAGAACTTTGAGTAAAACCCATGGATTTTGATCCCCAGCCCTAGGTGCTTTTTATAATCCACCTTGTCAATTTGCATCCACTTAATCACCTATAATGAATTCATTATTTTATAGGTGTTGAGCCTGTTTTTATTTGCCTTAGGGCTTACTAACTGAGAAGTTCTCATGTTTTGTCTATCGCAAGAGAATCTTTCTGTCAGTCATTTTTGTTGCTATTACTCATTTAAAGCACATTCACAGAGAACTTCTTTGGTATCAGGTGCTTTGGAATGTAGCAGCAACTATGATAACATCTGGGTGTGATCACAGAGCTACAAACCCTCTCCTTTGGCCCTTGCTGAGGCACTATAATGAGACAGGCCAGCAGAGGCTCAAAGCCTACAGTCCTTGATGGCTGCTGTGGTACCTGCAAGGACAGGTTAGCCACGGAAGTAACAGACCAGAGATATTTTTCTTTTTCCTCTTTTTTTTTTTTTTAGAATTTTCAGAGTTTTTCCTAAACCACTCGTGTAGAGATTTGTTCATCTCCCAGTTAAAGACTATTGTCATTCTGACTTATTGATGCTTTTTACATGTGTCTCATGACCCAGAAAGGGATGGCCTGAGGGTCAAAAAAACTAAAACACTTGCTTTTCTTCTTAACAAAATATTGATAGTCATATGTATATGATAATCAAGAACTTCTGTTAATCAGGAAACCATGTAAAGAGAGAAGAGTCTAGCTACAAACTTAGGAAAGGTAATAGTTACCGTAAAACCTCAAGAGAATTAGTACCCAGCATACACAAATGAATAGGAAAAAGACAAATAGCCCAATAGAAAAATGGGCCAAGGTCAGGAATGGGAATTTCATAGGAGAAGAAACATTGAGTTATTACTAAATATGAAAAATTGTTCAACCTAAAAAGTAATGATGGAAATGAAAATGAAGGCCACAGTGAGATACCATTTTATACACACTTGATAAAAATTAGGAATCTGATCATTTCAAGTGCTGACAACTGTATGGATAACAGGAATTCATGGCCTGTAGGAATTCAAATGGCATACCCACTTTGGAAAACAGTGTGGCACCGTCTTGCAAAGCTGAACTTACACTTACCATTTGAACAAGATATTTTCTTTCTAGTCATTCACTCTAGAGAAAACCTTGCACATGTTTGTAGTTGCAAGTATTTGGAAATACTCCCAATTCCATTGGAAAAAGAATAGGTAAACACATCTTAGCACTTTCATGAAGTGCAGTCTTTATCAACAGTGAGCCTGTATCTGCAATAGTTACATGCAGTACCATAGAGAAATCTTGGAAATTTCATACTGAATAAAAAAAGCAAGACCAAGAATATTTGGTCATGCATTACATTTTATAAAGGTCAAAAGAAAAACTCAACAACCTCTTGTTTAGGAACGCAAACCTGTTTGATAAAGCTATCTAAAAAATGCCAAGGGATTATTTCTGAGAATGAGGAGGAAAGTGAATGGACCCATGAGGGAGCAGACAGATTTAGAAGTATTAGAACTGTTTTCAATCTCATGTTGGCTGGTATATACACCCAAGGTTTTTTTTTTTATGATGATGATTTATATTTTACAAAATTGTTATGTCTTCTATTTGCATAAAATACACATAATGCATTTAGAGAGTAAACTGATGCTTCATTTTCCTATTGGAGGGGAGACATATGAACTTCATTCTTAAAACAAAGAGCCTTTGGCTCTTTCTGTGAATTTGCCTAACCTCATAGTGACTGTTCCCTGCAGAGTCCTTGGCCTTCCTGTGTGACCTGAAGAACAAGGAGGACAGCTGTGAAGTCATCAGCCACACCTATGTGCAGTGTGATTTGAGTGTATCCATGGGGATGGAGAGACTGCCGGAATTGTGGCCTTACCTCTATGCTTGTGAAGAAAGTTCCCAGTGTCTCTTTGAACCAGATCATTGGAAAAAGTCAGACTTTCCATCATTCTCTGGCTTCTTCATCAGGTAGCTACCTTCTCCTTTCCTCTCTGACCTTCCCGATGGCCAATGGACCCACGGAGTCATTGGAAAGCCCTGGCAGGGTGGACGTGGCCTGAGGGCCTGCTGCTCTCTTAGAGGGGCCATTCCATGGTGGATTCCAGCCAGCTTGCATATCAAAGCATCTCCTGTCTTTTTCAAGTGTTCAAGAGAACATCTGAAAAATCTGCCCAGTAAACAACTCACTTTGTTCTTGCTTAGATTTTAATATTTATCTTCCGATCCAAAGCAACATCTGGTGAATGCCAATGGGGAAAAAGATTAGACATTATGAAAAACAGAAGGCTTTCCCCCCTTTTCCCTTTTTCTTTTCTTTCCAAACAGATTCACAAGTATGAAAAAAAGTCATAGAGAAATCCAGCAGATTGCACACTGTTTATTCAAAATAAGGGGGGTTACACAGAGAATTACTGTAGATCTAGGGCTTAAAAGCCATAAGCTCATAAGGATTTTTTTGAACCTAAAAAAGAAAAAAAAAATCTAACAAATGAATACCACAACCTTCCAGGTTAAATCCCTTTTCTAAACAAAAATTTTTTTTTTTTAAAAGTGTGACTGCGTTGGGAACTCTGGATGGCCTTAATTTCAGTCAGCAGTTCTTTTCCTATATGCAGGGTACTAACTCAGGGATGAACAATGCCCTGAATCCTTATTCCTTATCTAGATAGAGTGGTTACATCTGATAACTTAATGAAGATTAATTTTCTCATTAAGTGGCTGGGGATATGGCTCAGTTGGTAGAGTGCTTACCTCGCATGCACAAGGCCCTGGGTTCAATCCTCAGCAGCACACACACACACACACGAAATCTTATTAAAAATAAAGCTAAACAAGACCCATGGCTCTCAGTGAAGGATATAACCAGTCTGATTTTTTAATGTCTTGAGACAGTCTGTTTTATCAGGAACTTGCCACCGGAATTTGGTGTTTAGCCATTGGAAAAGAGGAAACTCCTTGGCTGATTGCTTCCTAGAAGGATGTGGAGCATCTTCTGAGGTGGCACAGGAAATGGGGTTTCGCGGGTTGTGCTCTGGTGAGGCTGGATCTCAGAGCTCACAAATGCTGGATACTAAGAAGTACTAGCCAGCGGTTCCTGCTCCACTGAATTCAGGATCTCTACCTGAATCTCCCCCAAAGAATTCCCTTGGATTCTTTGTGGCCTTCTTCTTCACTCTGTGCTGAGCGTGAGGCAACTGAGCCTCAGATACCATTAAAGTTAGACATTTATTATTCAATATCATTTCAAAAGTCTTGTTCAATGTTCTGGCCATTGCAACAGAAAAACTGAGTGTTTTCTTGAGTAGAATTAAATGTCCTAGGATTTAAACAATATGTTTTATATTTAGTGGTGATAGGATGGGGATCCAGTGCTGTCCTTTGTGACCAGTGGGAAGTCAATATGATCATTAGAAGATGATTTGGCAAAGCTCTAATAACACCTTGGTATTCTTCATAATCTATAGCCCAGGAATTTTATGTCTAGGATTTTGTTCTAAAAGAGTAAATAGAAGTTTTAATAGTCACAAACAGCCACATCCTTTGACGTTCCAAGTACAATAAAACATTTTTAAAAAGTTTAAATAATAAAGAATGCATCCAAATGATAAGACATTAAGAAACCTATAAAAATCATGATGTAGAGTAGTTAAACAAGTAGAAAATGCTTGCAGTACATTGAGAAGTGAAAAATCACAGGTCACAAAATTGTATATCAATTTAATCCTACTGTTCCATATAATATATATGTATATGTATATACATATATATTTGTACACACTTGAGTCATTAGCAAGAAATATAGGAGAGACATATTCTAAATTGATAGTGTCCATATCTACGTAGCTGAAATACTGATCATATTAATTTTTTTCATTGAATTTTTATGTATTTTTCTAGTGAATATGTGCTGATTTAATAACTGAGAAACAATATAAGTTAAACAAGGGGCATTAAAAAAAGCATGTTTCAAATAGCTTACTTGGTTTCTGTTAGGTTTACGCTTGTGAACCCAGAGGACTATTTTCCATGGTCTTTTTAGGGAATTCACTTTCATCAAATGCTTTATCTCACGGCCAGCATTACCTTATGGCTTTATTTCATTTGTCAAAGACAGACATATAACTGGAAAAAAATATATATATACATATACCTAGCCCATCTGTCCATCTCTCCTTCTATCATCCATCCATCATTTATCAAGTGCCTACTATATTCTAGAATACTATATTCTAGCTATTCTTCCAGGTGCCGGTGACTCACTGGTGGTGAGGCAGGAGAGTGCCTGCTTTTAAGAGTGGGAGTGGAAGACAACAAACAGTATGATCACATGTTGTGCTAAATGTCTTAATGCGGTAGAAAAAATGGGGCTGCTTTGGATAGCTTCTTCGGAGGAGTGCCTCTGAAGAAGTGTCTTTTATGCTAGTGTTATGGTTGGGATGTGAGGTATCCCCCAAAAGTTCATGTGTGAGACAATGCAAAAAGGATTAGAGGAGAAATGATTGGGTTGGGTGGCAGCCTTAACCCAATCAGTGAATAATTATCTGATGGGGTTAATTAAGTGGTAACTGAAGGCAGGTGAGGTGTGGCTGGAAGAAGTAGGGCATTGCGTGCGTGACTTTGGGGTATATTTTGTATTCAGCAAGCAGAGATCTCTCTCTTTGCTTTCTGACCGTCATGTGAGCTGCTTCCCTAGGGCACACTCTTCCGCCATGGTGTTGTGCCTCACTTTGAGCCTCAAGGAATGGAGCCAGCTGCCTATGGACTAAAACCTCTGAAACTATAAGCCCCTAAAATAAACTTTTCCTCCGCTATGAATGTGCTAGTCAGATCCTTTAGTCTCAGCAGCGAAAAAGCTGAGGAAAATACCCTTCTCTTGATCCCAAGAATAAGGGATCACTCTGTAAAGCCAGGGAGTGGGGTGGCAAATGCAAAGGAACCATTAGATCTTATGAGCTGTGAAGAGGCCAGTTGAGCAGGAGTATAGTGAGAAGGAAGGAAAGCTCCTGGGGAGCTATAGGGGCCTTTAGGCCAAAGAAAGAAGTTGGGGTACTCTCCTAAGATAATTACTTTCCAAAGTCCACAGTCAAGGCATGGCAGCCATGGCAGCGGAACCCAAGGCTTCTGACTCATGACATCCTTACTGCCATGCTGGACTCTCTGTGTTTGTGATGATAACCTCAGCTGAGCCACATGGGGCCAATGAAATTCCAGGGCCAGGGGAGCAATTTCAGGCTATGTGGAGGAGACAGAATTTCTGCACAAGCCTTTGCTACTTATTGCAAAGGTGTATATAAGAAGATTGCCTTCTGACTTTAGGATCTGATGATCCGAACCAAAAAGGCAATACATTGGGAGTCAGGAAACTTAGGTTCTAGAACCATCTTTGTCACTATATGAACACAAAATATTTACTACATTCTCTTAGATATGTTTGTATATATATGCATTTGTACATTCATGTCCATCTTTATCTAAACCTGTATCCATGTCTGTATCTCTACATCTATTTGTACCTATATACATTTTTTTTCTATTTAAATCTGTCCAATTCATAACATTATTTGGGAGGGAAACATAGCTATTAAGAACATTTGAAATTTTGTAAATGCTCATCTATTTTTGATATACTGGTGTCTCAGCTAATTTGGGTAATGGCTTTTAAAAGAAAAAAAAATCTTCAGCGAGGTAATCAGGGACAAATAAAACAGTCTAACAGAAAGGGACTGAACTCTCATCAGAGCAGGAAACATGTGATCAGGGAAGACTGCATGTTGCTGACAGGTATGCACAAGGTGGGCAGTGTGACCTGGCCCACTTGACTCATTCCTTTGCCAGTGGAGCCCTGTAACGGGGAAAGGTGATGGGCAAATAGTCTCCAAACTAGAAAAGAAAAATGGGAGAATTTTGGAAATTCAGACAACTAAGGCTGACATTAGTCCTGACACAATTCTATGAGGAGTGTTTAATCAGATGGTTCGTGAGCCTTCAGAAGTAAAAGAGGTTGTCTGGGAACCAATTTACAAAGAGTATGTTGGTGTCAAAAACCAATGTCATTTCCTTTTGGATAGATCTACTTGTGACTTATGATGTATATGGAGGGCGAACTTTCCAAACTATTCTAACAACCTCTCCACCCCCATTAGCAAAAAGAGTTCTGCAAAGTCCTAAGTGGCCTGACACTAACCTTAAATTACTTTGAAATCAGGTGTTTTAAAAGTTTATTTTGGTTTTGCCTTCTATTCTACCATATTTCCATATTTATCTAATTATTACATTGCAATTGCATTTTAATTTAGAAGTTATGTTACTTTGCTTTTCCTTTCTGAATCTTGTAGTTTGACTGATTCTCCAGGAGCAAATGGTGTATTTATCCCATGGCTTCATCTACCCCTTGAATAAGCATTCAACTAAATGGGTTTTTATGTTGATTTTAGTCTCCCAATTTAAAAAAATGTTGGAGTGATGTGTTTAAGTCAGTGAGGTGAAATAAAGCAATAAGGAATATAAATTTTCATATTTATATTTCAATAACACCATCACCTCCACTACCCACAAAAATTGTAACAACAGTTGCCTTTGTTGGATGTTTACTGTGTACCATGTTCTAATCATTTTGTGTACTTCATTTTTTTTATTCCTTAGTACCTCTGTAACATAGGAACTGAGTTATTAGTAATGTCATTTTATAAATGTGAAAACCAAAGCTCACAGAGTCATGTCTTCAAGCCCATATAGATGGGATTCAAATGTAACTGACCTGTTTCCAAGCCTAACATTTACATGCTTGGGCTTCTCCGAGAATCAACTGACAAATGCAGCATGGGGAAATTCTCTGGCAATTGCAGCCCTGGGACTTTGACTTCACTACTCTCTTCCAGCAAGCTTAAGGGGACACAAAATAAACAGTGTTTGGTGTTATAGGTGGGAGAGCTCAGATAAAGGGAGACCAGTTCCTCAGTGGTCAGCCCAAACCCTGCATTTTGTTCTGGGTGGTATAGTATTAAAATATCAATATAACCCCCAATAGGTCTAGAGGACAGTAGGTGTTAAAGTCCTGTCTTGGTGGCACTGGGATGCCAATATTTTAGCATGAAGAAGAAAAGAGTAAATGGTGAGATATGATAGTTCTGCTGCTCATTATTTCTAGCAAATTGTGGGAGAAACCATTTCAGTATTGATTTGAAAAAAGACGCTGCAGTTCAACATGATTTATAGTTTCTCAGTCAGTGACCTTTTGCCCTTTCCCCCACCCTTCCTGGATTCTGCCATCTTCACTACTGAAGTTCAATCAGCATCTGAAAATTCAAGAGTGCTGCTCCAAGGAAGCAGGACACCTGGATTCTGAATTTGGGAGCGGCATAATTTTGTGTTGACTTTATGCAAATCCCTGATCTCTTTGGGTTACATTTTTTATTCCTCCACCTAATTTACAGGCTGAAATTAGATCATACATATGAAATTGCTGAAAAGTATAAAACATCATGCATTATTATTACTAATAATCTTTGAGTTAGTTGCAACAGTGCCTAAAGCCAGGATTATTTTTGAATAAATATCACACCTGTTGGGGCTGATATCCTGCAATATCCATGCTTTCACCTCCTCTAGACTGCATATTTTCTGTAACGCTACATACACTGCTGTTTTTTATTTTAAATCTAGTCTGGCTTCTCCCCTTAAAGCAAGGGGACTTTTAAAGTGAGTGGCTGGTAGTATAACTGGCACATATATCGAATCTCCTTAGTCTGGGCTGTTAAGTAAGTTTAATTAATTTACTAAGTTAATGTTCCACTGCTAGCAACAGAGCCTCATTGCCATCAGCTGGGGAGAGGGAATTGAAAGCCTAAATGAGCTCATTTTTTCACAGTTGGAATTAGGGACCAGTTAGCCAGTTGTGTGGGTTTTCCAATTTCTCCATCTGCCCTTGGGGGATTCAGGCAATTCACTCCCCCAACACTAAGTGTGAGTAAGATCAGGAAAAGGGAAGGGGAAAAGGAAAAATTAAAAAAAAAAATCTCTGTCCAACATTAGTTTCCATTTTTGGAACTGGAAGTATTGTCTGTGTTAAGTTGGGTTTGTAGAAGCTTTTACTGATGTTTCCGATAGATTGGGAAAAGAAGAAAGGCCTCAGTGAAAGATATTTACCATGTGCATTTTCATTGCAGGGTGAGCAGATAAAGGAAAAACAAATAAACAATAAAAGAATGGAAACAAAATTACAGAAATTTGCAAAATTTGACAAATGGTGGCCTGTAGTTGCCACAAGCTAATGGCTTGCAATGATTAATAAGAGTAAAAATAATTGCATTTCATTAAGATTGATGACACCCCATTTAACCTCCCCTCTCATTTCAGCCCTAAAGTGGAAAGAGATGAAGTTCTCATCTATAATAGCTCCTGTAACATTACCATGGAAACTGAGGCAGAGATGGAGTGTGAGACGCCTAATCAGCCAATTACCGCCAAGATTACTGAGATACGGAAAAGCTGGGGCCAGAACACTCAGGTATAATCAAATCTTTTTTACAGACTGATTCAAACAGCTCAAATTAAATTTGTAATATTGTGTACATTAAAAAAACAATTTAGTCCAAATGGCAGCGATATATAATATTAAATGCTCTCAAACTTTGAGGAGCTGGTCTAATGCACAACATCTGAATTCATAGTTAACTATGGTTAATCATATATTTTCTCAAAAATAAATGAATGCTGCCTGGGCTCTTTTAAAGCAAATTCCGAACAGATAATCTCCCAGCATTTTGTCCTGATTTCTGCATGCATATTTCTTCATAAAATAAATGGCCTAACATTTAACTAGGCCCTTCTGGAAGGCTTCCAAGTCACTCAGCCCTCCTCAGTGTGGTGGGACAGCGAGTTCCTGGTCCGTCCTGTTTCTGTCTGTTCCGTGGGGGAGCAGTGTGCAAATGTCCACCTTGGTGGGGGTTGTGTGGAAGGATTGCAGGGCCGCTGGCCCAGCATCTCTACCTCAATGCATTTGTTTTGAAATCACTCACACCACTCCCTTCAAGTGGCTGTTCTAAGAATGTGTCTTTAAGTCCCCAGTGAAAGATTCACAGCCTCCCCAAGGAATTTGCGAGAATTGAAATCAGAGGCTAAGAGCTCTTTGGAAATGGATCAGATAATCTTTTACAACTCCCCAGGCTTCTCACTGTACACAGACAAAAAATAATATTTATTGAGCACCTTCTCCCCCAGGTGCCTTTCTCTTTATGAAAGCAGTTTTTAGATTTTTCCTCTCTGTCTCTCTTATTTGGAACAAACGTTTATTAAGTGCCTATTATGTGCCACACACTGTTCCAGATTCACTCAAGAGTGCTGTTTGAGTCAAACTGTCCAAATCCAAAACTATACTTCCTGGTTCATAGTGTATGTTTTTGTCTAACTTTTGCACAGGTGCTGACAAGGTATGTAATTGCAAATATTTTTTTTCCTGTCCTTCCTAAACTGCTCTCTGTAGTCCTTTCCACCACTCTGAGGGGCTTCTCTGTTTCTTCCATCACTTCCTAACCTTCTCCCTCCCTTTACCCTCCTTTCAGTGATTGTCCAAGGCTGTCACTTCCTGTTTCTTTGTGTCCCCCTCAAATGCCCCTTCCTTTCAATTCACTGTTGATGTGAATTCCTCATTTCCAGAACCACTGTCTTCCCATTGCAGCCTCACCTTCACTCTGTGCCTCTTTCTTAGCAGACAGCTCTAACTGACATTTCAAAGTGAGATGGAACTGCTGTGGGACAGTGAGCAACTGTTAATCCTCTCTGGGCTTCAGTTCCTGTCTGGATAGACAATCGCTTAGTGTCGTTGGGATGCTCATGTAAGCAAATGCTGGTAAAAGGAAGGGAGAGACAGGTTAGCACAGTGGTTAAATCTGTGAGCTTCAGAACTAGAACATTCAGGTTTGAATACATCACTTTCTACCTGGGGGACTTTAGGCAAGTTACTAACCGCTTCTGTGCCTCCATTTCTCATCTGTAAAGTAGATAGCAATAATAGTCACCTAATAGGGTTGTTCTGAGACTCACACATAGTGAATGTCCAGTATTAGCTATTGTTAGCAATGCTAGTTTACTAATAGTCATGCCAGAAAAATGATAGAGAGTTGCTTCTCTATAATTCTTGCTACCTGGGCCAATCATTTAACTTCTAAGATCTTATTTAACTTTTCATTATCTCAAAGTTGAATTTAGAGACTTTTTGAAGGTTACATGCCTCACTTGTTTTAAAATATTTATGCAACACATAGGTATTGAGGTTTTTTAATATTTTTAGTTGTAGATGGACACAATAACTTAATTTTATTTATTTACTTATTTATTTTTATGGTGCTGAGAATTGAACCCAGTGCCTCACACATGGTAGGCAAGCGTCCTACAACTGAGCCACAACCCCATCCCTATCTACTGAGTTTTAACCATGTTCAAGAGCCTCTGCCATGCTCTGAAGCAAACAAGAAAGTAAGACAGAAAGATGCTCCTATTATTAAGGGATATTAGGAAGTGAGGGCACACATGGAAGTAGGTGAGGTTTGAAAGACAGTATCTAAAGTCAGTTTACCACAGTAGGATGAAGCATTGGGCACCATCCAGACCAGCCGTCTCATTTTAAAGATGAATTAAGATTTAAAAGAGACCTTGGTAAAGGTCACATAGCTCATTATTTGGCATCATAACCCACGCAGCCATAAGTCATTGTGGTGAAGTGAGCCATTTAATCTTCAGGAACCGATGGTGGGGAGGAGCTTATTTGTCAGAACCTACTAGACTAGAGCCTGTGTGGGAAACTTCAGAGGGGCAAAGAGGAGGTAGGTGCCACTGCGAGGTAGGTGCCACTGCTGTAGCTTCAAGACATGATAAGCATTGCACTCAAGTGTTGATGATAATGTCACACTCTTAAACACTCTTTTGGGAGCAGAGTCCTATCAAGTAGTACGAGGGGAGCAATAGCAGGGATTTACAGCAAAATCATCAGAGTTTAAGACCTACTTTAGCACCAGTGGAGTCCTCAAGAATGCAACTAAGGTCTCAAGCACAATTCCTATCATGCTGACTGGATCAACACCGTGGAGTTGGGAAACAACTATAGCTAACTGTGCCTGTAATTGTCCAGGGCCCAGAAAACAAAAGGCAATAGAGAAATTATTCATTCTAGATTCTGCTCTCTGGTAGGATAGTTTAGTTTGCTTCAGGATTGGAATATAATGAAACCTATAAATAGAGGGTTTATAACTAACTGAACACAAAATTGACTTATCACCCAAATCAGAATGCCTTTGAGAGTGCAAGGCCGATAATTAACAATTGTGTTGGGATAATATGGCACTCTTGTTGGGGTATGTGGAAACACTACTGGGCCTGGGAACAACTCATCACTATGCAATACATGGTTACTCTGTCTCTGAATGTCTGATTTTCCTGCTTTGGCTTGGGAACAACATGCCACCTTTGCTAGAATGCTTGGTTGCCTTATCTTGGCTTAGACCTGGGGAAGACCACCACTGGCAGATGATTAATGAGGTCTATAACCCAGGTTCCCACTTCCAAGTTCAAGGATTTCCTATGTGAGAATATGGGGACATTAATAGAATAGATACTTAAGCAATAAAAGGGTTCCAAAAACAAATACGTTTGGAAAGTTGGGTGTAAAATATTTGTGTGCGTGTGTGTGTGTGTGTGTGTTTATTTATTTTCCCACTAAAGGACTTTTTTTTAGAGCATTCAATATGTGAATATATAATGTGATTTCTATAGAAAGCTATAGTGTAGAATGTCGCCCAGACTTACCTACGTCCAGATTTCCTCTGGGGCCGTTACCTCTCCCACTGCCTTCAATTTGGCAGGTGCCTGTGCCATGATTTTTCCCTGTTGGAGTGAGGGCTCTGTTCCATTATCTTCAGGTGGGTCAGTCCCGTGAGCTCTATTGAAGTATTATATTATGATGTGCAGTGCAGGTAAGTTTCAGGGAAGCAGAAGAGGAATCAGGGCAGAAGGTACTAAAACTCTAGGACAGTGTGAGGTGCATGGTGCACGTGTAGGGAACTCGTGAGTTGCACGTAATTTTCCAGGGCCCAGAAAAACACACACACAGGGCAGAGTGGTGATGGGAAGTGTTACTGAAATCTGGAGATGAATGAAAGGTCTGCTTTCTCTTTAAAGAGAAATTGGCCTGCTCATCCCCCTAAATTCTGTCCTCCACCCCACTCCAGAATCCTGGCAAGTCAAATTCTACTCCTCCCAGGAAGGAGATCAGATATTACTCTAGAGAGATTAAACCAGAATAACTGCTCACAGATGCTGGCATTTGAAAGCTTCCTGAAGTCCTACTTAGATTGGTCATCTACTTAGATTTTTAGTGCGTTGCTATGACATTTGAATGGACAGATTTCTGGTTTGGGCTAGGAGAGTGTAATAATTTTCAGGCTTACTCACATGCATTCACAACTAGAAAACTAGTCAAAGTGTATTTCAGATGTTGCATAACTGACAGCACAAAGCTGAGATCCTTGGAGAATGGAAATACACAAGGACAATGACTTTCTACCTGTGAGCATTATTCAAAACCCAGCACAGGGAAATAGAATCCAGACAGAGTGAAACAGTCTCATTGGAGGGATCATTCAGAGATTGGAGTCCAGGATGGCTGATGTTGGTGGGATTTGCAGGGCAGGTTGATAGAGAGGAGGGAGGTCTGCAGAATAGGAGCTCTAGAAATCTGCATGAGAGTCCTTTGAGACTTTGGCCCAATATTTAAACAATCATAGTGAGTGCAATTCTGTGATGTCTAGCAGAGAATAGCTACCAAGATGCTTGAAGTGAATAAAAATTTTAAAGTACTTGATAATATAGTACTTGGGAAAGTTCAAGTGATGATCAATTAGGGTGCAGAGACCTCATTCAACAACATCACAGCATTGAGTTGAGACTACAGAAAGGCCATATTTTCAGTGGCAAGGAAATACAGACAACTGAGCTAGATCACAAATAGGATAGGAAAGGAAGGATGCAGGTAGGTATTATGGTCAGGCAGCAGCTTCCTCATGCCCAAGCTTGCTATCATTGGTGGTGGAGAGAGTTTTCTTGAGTTAAAAATATTTTGAATAAAGCTGTGGTCTTTTAGTGTGTTATTGATTGGACAAGATCAAGTCTCCATGGGTCACTTGTCCATTCTTCTGGTGACTACAGAATAGCTGTTAGACAGCTATAATGTTTGGCTGGTTAAATCACCATCATTTTTTAAAAGTATTTATGTTTCAAAATTCATTTGTGTTCTTTAATGCTTTTTTCTCTCTGGAAGATTTTTATTTCCTTAAAATTGAAGAATTTTTCTCTTATGAAATTCTTTAGTACTTTATCATATTCATCTTGTGGAATTTGTCTTCTTATATGTTTAAAAATGCATTTATTCATTTAACTATCTTACCTGCCAACTAGACACTAGTCTGAGGTTGAGGTTCATGTAGAATTCTTCCTTGATCTCTCTTTGGTAAATGA